GAAAAAAAAAAAAAAGAAAGGAAAAAGGAAGAATCATCATAAAGTGAGAAGGATTTTGTGTGGGAAAGGGCTGCTTGAGAAAAACATTTAGATACATTACATGCCAGAATTAATTCTAGTTGGAGTAGAGTTAAAGGTAAGAAATAGACATCATCCTTTTGAAAAGGAGCTAAAGATGATTATTGAGCGTGGGGAAGGAATTTTCCAGGTATGAGAAGAATGAGAGGTCACAAAGGAAATGGCCAGTAGATGTGACCACATAAAAATTTAGAGCCAGGCTAAATCAAACATCATAAGTAAAAAGCTGAGGCTCCAGGGTTTCCCAGGATCTCCGCTGGCTAAATCAGATGGGCCCAGGCAGCCATCAGTCACCCGGGGGGGTCTCGGGGAATGTGACTGGGGCTGGAGTAGCACCAGCTGTGTCATATCAGGACTCCAGGGCTTTGGGGAACCCTGGGTGGTCTCAGTTTATTTGGATCCCAGGCCTAGGCCTTGGTGCTAATCAAAGCTTGAGGGCGGGGTGGGAAGGAGCAGAAAGGGATCTAGTACTGGACATAGGTGCCCTTCCTTCCTGACCCTGAGATGTGTCCTCACCACTTGTGGCAGCTCAGTGCAGCATTGGCTCCTTGGGGAAGCCCCCTCCAACTTCAGGGCATGTCCACACTTCTCTGTGTTGCTTTGTCCCCTCTCAGACACAACCTTCCCCCGTGCCCCGTGGTTTCCTTGTCTGTGTCCCTGGAGGGAGCCTGTGCTTGCAATGATTGCTGATTGATTGACCAGCTGGCTGGGCCTTGCTGCTCCCATGACGCCTGATGGCCCAGGATGGCTGAGCTTTGTGTTTAAGCAGAGGAGAAGCGCAGTCACAATGCTGCTCATCCAAGTTGCTTGTTGCAGGTCTGCAGAGAGCGACCGCGTGGGTAACATCACCGTGATTGGCTGGCAGATGGAGGAGAAGTCAGACCAACGGCCCCCCGTGACCCGGTCCCTGGACACTGTCAATGGGAGGGTGAGTACGGCACCTGCCTCTGTCCACATGGACTTAGCCTCTGTGCTCAGCAGAGGGCAGGGCCTGCTGCTTGATGCTGCCCCCCGCAGGACGCTCGGTCCTCCCCACGCATGTCTCCTAGTAGGGGAGGGCTGGAGAGGCCCTGGTGCCCTGGAGCTGTGTCTGCTCCAGGCGCCACACTGGCCATCTCTAAGGGAAGGAGTGAGTAGGCAGGCCTGCAGTGGGGAGGGAAGGGGGTGGCTGGGGGTGTGGAGCATGAGTGAATAGGTGTTTGTGACCCTCTTTATGAGATTTCACGAGATTTGAGGATTTTACGAGACATCTGTTTTATTTCGTTAACATCTTCCTCTCCCAGACACACGTGCCCCACCCTTCCCTGGCGCACGCCCCCACGTCCTGAGCACCCTCTCTCCCCTGCAGTATACGCACTCCTGCACGCAGTCTCACACAGACACTCTTGCTCTTAAAAGAGAATCCCAAATCAAGAGCCCCAGCACCAGTAAGTGGTCATTGTTGTAAAGTACAGAGATACCTTATTTTACCCAAAATCAGCCCAGAATGTTAGCTCGGGAAATATTCCTTGGCATTATCTACCCCTCCCTTTCATTTTACACATCAGAACACTCAAACCCAAGGGGAAGTGACCGAAGACGTGCACAGTGTCCAGAGTCGTGCACGCGTGGAGTACGTTCNGGGGAACCCTGGGTGGTCTCAGTTTATTTGGATCCCAGGCCTAGGCCTTGGTGCTAATCAAAGCTTGAGGGCGGGGTGGGAAGGAGCAGAAAGGGATCTAGTACTGGACATAGGTGCCCTTCCTTCCTGACCCTGAGATGTGTCCTCACCACTCGTGGCAGCTCAGAGCAGCATTGGCTCCTTGGGGAAGCCCCCTCCAACTTCAGGGCATGTCCACACTTCTCTGTGTTGCTTTGTCCCCTCTCAGACACAACCTTCCCCCGTGCCCCGTGGTTTCCTTGTCTGTGTCCCTGGAGGGAGCCTGTGCTTGCAATGATTGCTGATTGATTGACCAGCTGGCTGGGCCTTGCTGCTCCCATGACGCCTGATGGCCCAGGATGGCTGAGCTTTGTGTTTAAGCAGAGGAGAAGCGCAGTCACAATGCTGCTCATCCAAGTTGCTTGTTGCAGGTCTGCAGAGAGCGACCGCGTGGGTAACATCACCGTGATTGGCTGGCAGATGGAGGAGAAGTCAGACCAACGGCCCCCCGTGACCCGGTCCCTGGACACTGTCAATGGGAGGGTGAGTACGGCACCTGCCTCTGTCCACATGGACTTAGCCTCTGTGCTCAGCAGAGGGCAGGGCCTGCTGCTTGATGCTGCCCCCCGCAGGACGCTCGGTCCTCCCCACGCATGTCTCCTAGTAGGGGAGGGCTGGAGAGGCCCTGGTGCCCTGGAGCTGTGTCTGCTCCAGGCGCCACACTGGCCATCTCTAAGGGAAGGAGTGAGTAGGCAGGCCTGCAGTGGGGAGGGAAGGGGGTGGCTGGGGGTGTGGAGCATGAGTGAATAGGTGTTTGTGACCCTCTTTATGAGATTTCACGAGATTTGAGGATTTTACGAGACATCTGTTTTATTTCGTTAACATCTTCCTCTCCCAGACACACGTGCCCCACCCTTCCCTGGCGCACGCCCCCACGTCCTGAGCACCCTCTCTCCCCTGCAGTATACGCACTCCTGCACGCAGTCTCACACAGACACTCTTGCTCTTAAAAGAGAATCCCAAATCAAGAGCCCCAGCACCAGTAAGTGGTCATTGTTGTAAAGTACAGAGATACCTTATTTTACCCAAAATAAGCCCAGAATGTTAGCTCGGGAAATATTCCTTGGCATTATCTATCCCCTCCCTTTCACTTTACACATCAGAGCACTCAAACCCAAGGGGAAGTGACATCGAAGACGTCCACAGTGTCCAGAGTCGTGCACGCGTGGAGTACGTTCAGTGCACTGGGGCCCCAGCACCAGTAAGTGGTCATTGTTGTAAAGTACAGAGATACCTTATTTTACCCAAAATCAGCCCAGAATGTTAGCTCGGGAAATATTCCTTGGCATTATCTACCCCTCCCTTTCATTTTACACATCAGAACACTCAAACCCAAGGGGAAGTGACCGAAGACGTGCACAGTGTCCAGAGTCGTGCACGCGTGGAGTACGTTCAGTGCACTGGAAGGTGAATTAATTTGTGGCTCGGGCAGCATGTTCATTGTAGAGATAATGGTGGATATTCGTTTTCAGAGTTCTCTTATGGTGTATTCAGGACACCCTTTCTGCTGAGTGCTCGGGGGTCATCTGAGTTCACAGTTTCCTTGTGCTTTTCTGTACACCTTATCAGATGGTTCTGCCCGTTGATGAGAGTTTGACCGAGGCTTTGGGAATCCGATCCAAATATGCTTCATTGAGAAAAGACACTCTACTGAAATCGGGTGAGCAGCTTCTGCCGTTGGTGCTATTGCCACTCTTGTGAGTGTCCACTCAGGCCCGTGGCTGTCCTTTGCTCCCTACCGCTGCGACTGTCGTAGCCATGCGCTCCAACTGTCACCTCTCTGCTGCTTATCAGTGTGCCATTGTTTTTCCAGCACAGGAACAGTAATGCTTCGAGGAAGGGGGTTCCTCCTTCGTTCCGCTCTTTCTAGGTTCACATTGGATCAGTGACTGAGAGTCTCCCCACCCCCAGCCGCTTACACATTAGAGTTACATGTTATGGGACAAGAAGATTGCATGTCGCGTGGAGAAACATTGGGCTCAATTGCTTGGGAGGTTTTTGGTTTAAGTGTTTTGATTCCCTTGAGCAGAACAGTAAGAGGACTTGAGGGTGTCAGCATCATCGAGGGCCTGGGTAGGAGGACCTGCGAGGCAGGTCTGCCACCAGCTCACACAGCCTCCTCCTTCCCTGCCGTCCCACTTCAGTGTTTGGCGGTGCCATCTGCCGCATGTACCGGTTCCCAACCACCGATGGCAACCACCTGCGGATCCTGGAGCAGATGGCAGAGAGCGTGCTCTCCCTGCAAGTGCCACGGCAGTTCGTGAAGCTCCTGCTGGAAGAAGACGCAGCCAGGTGAGGCCATGTGGAGGGGCTGACCACCCGTCACATCCGGTCATGTGCCCCTTCCTTTCTGAGAGGCAGCAGGCAGAGCATCAGATGGGCTGGCCTGCAGACCCAGCCTTGCCATTGCCAGCTCGGTAGCCTTGGCTTGTCACAGGCTCCATTTGCTTATCTGTGTCAACAGATTCCTGGGCAAGTATTTCATGAGACAGCATGCTTGAAGCCCCAGCTGTGTGTCCCCCTCTCAGCACTCCTGCCCTTCCCTCCCCCTTCCTTTTCCCCTCTTGCTTCTTGTCCTTCAGAAAGGTAGAAGGAGCTGGTCATTCTTTGGTCCTAGCTGTACGGGTGAGCCATTTCCTAGGTTAGGGCCTCCAAGGTAAGGGCTCCAGAAGACTGTGACCATCAGGACACTTGGGTTCCCTAGGTTCTCAGCCCCTGTGCCTCTCTGAGCCCAGGGCATATTTTATCAGTCTTAGGTGGGAGAAGCCTGAGAGTGGTTCACCCGCAGATATGTCTCCTGTCTGTCCAGACCATCATTTTTACTCCTTGTCCTAAAATATGTTAATTATAAACGCAATATGACAGAAGCATGAAAGAAAACAAGGAAACCAGAATCCTTCTGTCTTAATGCAGCTGTTCTGTTCCCTTTTATTATCTTAAAAAACTCACCAATTGTTAATATTTTGCTAATTACTTTATATCTGTTGCACATATTTTTAGTTATTTTAATTTTTAGAATTTTTCTTTCAGCTTTGTTCATATTTATTTACATAGCTACAGTCTACTTTTCCATGTAACTTCAGTGTTTATGTTTTAGTTTTTAATTATGACGTGATTTTCCATTACGTGGTGTATTATAACTTTAAAGAGCTCATTCATATGACAGGTGTTTTAGTTCAGGGTTTTGTTGTTGTCATGGTTGTTAGCAACAACCACATGCCAGGCTCTGTACTCCATGTGGGAGGCGTCTTTGTGGGCGTGACAGGTCGTGCAACACGGTCAGAGGCCGGGGAGTGGGAGCCCCCACAGGAGCTCCACGTCTGTCTGCGTGTGCCAGAAATTGAACAGGAGCTGTGAGAAGGAAGAGGTCGGTCAGGGCAGGGCTCTGGGAGATGGTGACATCACACAGACACCCAAGGCATAGGAAGCAGCCCCATTGAATGTAGGCACAAAGACACTCCGAAGAGAGGGGCCAGCAGCGGCCGGGGTGGACAGGCTGTGCGCAGGAGTGGCCTGAGCCCAGTGGCGCACTGGCTGGTGGTGGACGAGGCCGTGGGTTTCACCACAGCCCTGCTGCGCTGCTGTCCTTTTATGTTAATTTTGCTATTTTAATAATAATAATAAGATGGCAAAACTTTTTTTACTTCAGACAATTTAGTAGATTCCTAAGAACTTTAATAAATTTAGCTTTTTTTTTCCTTAAAGGAAATCATGTGCATAGTATAAAAAGCCAAATGGTGCTGAAAGGTTTTTAACTAAAAACTCAACTCATGGGGCCCTCCCCTCTGATCTACTTCACAGAAACTACCCCTTTTAGTGGATTTAATGTTTATGGCTACGTGTGTAAATGTCTAAAGTACTCTCTTCATCAGTCAGCTTCGGGCTTAGCTGCTGATTTCCTGGGATGGGGAGTTTAGGCCTTTTATACTTGCCCAGCGCGCAGTTTCTTACTGCGGCTCTTTTTTTTAAATCTGTCTTATGTTTTCACTGTTCTGATTATGCAGCTATTCATTGCTGAGCTCGGAAGTTTCCGTTTCAGTTCCTGTACAGTTTTTGTTTGTCTGGAGATAACCATTTCTCTTTCTTCTTCTTTTCCTTCCCCTCTTGTTTCTGTCCCCTCTTATCCCCAATTTCTCTGTCAAGCACACACACATAAGACGAGGCCAAGCCAGGCCTGATTCAACCAGTCATGACACAACAGGCCGCTTTTAGATTCAGTTAGTTGTTTACACATAGGCAGCAAAAGGAGGAATAGTGAAAGGTGCCAGCTCCCCCTGGTCCTTGTCCCATAGCAAGAAGAACGACACAGACAAAGGGGGCCAGTGACTGCAGCAGGAGCCGTGGGGGCCGGGTCGTCGAGGAGCAGGCTGTCCCACGTTCCGCAGCTCTCTGCTGGGCTCTCACCTACTCAGAGACCGTGTCCTCACAGCCCCTGGGGGTGGCGGCCTCGGGGCAGCTACTCACGCACCTCCAGCCCTCTCAGTTCTAGGAGGACCACACGTCGTTCCGCCTGTGCCTCAGTGGGACCTGCAAGGTCACCCGAGCACCAGGGCAGAGTCGCGCCCTGACAGCGTCTCTTCTCCCAGCCTCCACTGTGTTTCCCTCGAACATCTGACTGTGCGCTTCCCCAAGGGCACGGTGGTCTGCCTTTCCTGTAGCTGTGTGTCCTCCTGCCTCCCATTTGCTCTTCAGACAGATCGAGCACCAGGGCAGAGTCGCGCCCTGACAGCGTCTCTTCTCCCAGCCTCCACTGTGTTTCCTCGAACATCTGACTGTGCGCTTCCCCAAGGGCACGGTGGTCTGCCTTTCCTGTAGCTGTGTGTCCTCCTGCCTCCCATTTGCTCTTCAGACAGATAGTGTAACCGTCATGCCAGGCTGCCCTGGGCATGGTGGTGCCTCTATGTGCACTTTGTCCTCTGGTCAGGACTCCTGGGCCTCTCCAGGGAAGCAGCAGCCCCACACCTGATGCACGTGTGTCTTGCTTGCAGAGTGTGTGAGCTGGAGGAGTTGGGGGAGCTGTCCCCTTGCTGGGAGAGCCTCCGGCGCCAAATTGTCACCCAGTACCAGACCATAATCCTCACGTACCAGGAGAACCTGACCAACCTCCATCAGTACAAAGGTGGGTGTGGTCCCGTCTGCTAGAGGCACGCGTGCTTTCCGCTTTCCCAGCCGGAGCTGGAACCCAAGGTTGCTCACACACTCTCACCGACAGACGCGTTAGTGAATTTTTAAAAATAGATTCTAATGTAGTGTGAATTCTTTCAAATGTGGGTTTTTCAGATCTTAATTAAAAAGATAAATCTGTGAATTGCAGTGAAAAGGGAAACGAGTTAAAAACCTTCTATGGTGTCATCTGTCAAAACAACCAAATGTGGGTTTTTCAGATCTTAATTAAAAAGATAAATCTGTGAATTGCAGTGAAAAGGGAAATGAGTTAAAAACCTTCTATGGTGTCATCTGTCAAAACAACCACTGTAGAAAGAAATTTAGGGGAGATGGAATCACAGGCTATTATTGGTCCATAGTATTTCCTCATCTTGGTCTAATGTCAGTGAGGTGACCAAGAGGACATAGGCCATTTGCTTTGAGACAAAGCAGTTTCTGGATTTCCCGGTTTAGGTATTCCGTGGTACTTGTGTCCACACGTAAACTGTCAGTGTGGAGCTCCCCGCTGTAAGGCTCAGAACAGAAAGTGAGGTGGGGACACCTTGCCTTTTCTGCTTAGAGGTGCCATTGATTTTCACAACACTCTCAGGGCAGGCTTAGAAAACAGTTTTTAACTCGTTTCCCTTTTATTCTAAGTGGAATGAATTTTGTGGTTTTTTCATTACTTTGTATATTACTTTAGCATTTTGAATTATTCTCTATTTTCAGATTCTTCCCTCTGTCCCTCCATATAGTGGAATTTCAGGGTTTAAGGAAAATCACAAAGTCTTACTGTGGTTCTGACACAGAACATACGGACTTTTCCATGACAAGGTGCTGGTGGTGCCTGGCTTTGGTTTGGTGTGGAAAGCAAGTCTAAGTCATCACTAACAGAAATGGCAGCATTTGCCTGGAGTTGCTGAGGGACCTAGTCACGCTGGATGCCTGTTACCCAGGGAAGTGTGAAACCCACACAACCTTGGGTTTTCTAGAGCAGAGCTTCTCAGAAGCCGGTGTGGATCCAGATCCCCAAGAATCTGGTTAAAACGTAGGACTGGGATTCTGCGTTGACCATAGGCTTGTGGGATGCCTGTGCTCCTGGTCTATGGACCACCCTGTAACGGTCCGGTTCTAGAGAGCAATCGCCTGTGGCAAAATGCAAAACACACACCTACCTGCTGGTCTGCAATTCGTATGCTGGCAATATAGATTGATTTATTTTTCACTAGATGGAATGTTTATTTCCTTGACCTTTCTGGTTGTCAGTTTAATTTGTAATTCCTTTGTTTTGTAGGCATGTGTTTCTTAGTTATGGATTCTGATTATAGAAAATAAGATTGTGGGTACTTGTCATTAATCCTCGTGAACCAACTACATGTGCACAAGGGAATGTGTTTTGGTTTGTGCTCCAGAGGGCTGGAGTAAACACTGTATTGCATTTGTTTATCTCGACAGACCTGGGGTGATGAGCAGACCTTTATCGCCTTTCAGAACAGACATGTATTTTTCTAGCCAAACTGGTTTCTTAAATCTTGGCTGATGGTGGTCTCTAGAATTGGAACAGACGGTGTCTGGCATGGGCCCATTGCTTTTTATAGTGGTGCTCACATCATGCTGCCCAAAATCACATTTCTGTGTCAGCTCTGTCAGTTGCAAGCTGAGTCATGGCAGGCTCGGCGTGGTTACCACAGCCTTCTGAAGTGGTTCTCGCCGGCTCCATTCACCACGGAGCATCCAGAACTGCCTCCTGGCCAGTGAACCACCCTCCCTTCACCTTTCACCTGCCCAGCATCTGGAAACGAAATGAAGTATGCTCACGGGCATTGAAGTGGTTCTCGCCGGCTCCATTCACCACGGAGCATCCAGAACTGCCTCCTGGCCAGTGAGCCACTCTCCCTTCACCTTTCACCTGCCCAGCATCTGGAAACGAAATGAAGTATGCTCACGGGCATCTCAGAACTTCCTAGGGCGCTGCCAACACACACCTGCTTACATGCAGCAGCATCCTTGGAATACCGTTTTTCTTCTTTCTATTCATGAATGTAAGATACATGTCAGTGACTTTTGTTTTCTCATATTCCATTTCTTAGGTCCCTCATTTAAAGCAAGCAGCTTGAAAGCAGATGAAAAGTTAGAATTTGTCCCTACAAACTTGCACATACAAAGGATGAGAGTTCAAGACGATGAAGGATCAGGTACCTACTCTTCTGCCCCCCTTGTGGAGTCTCATTCCAGTTTTTTTCTTTCTGGGTACTTGGGTCCTGAGTGCCCCACCTCTGCCCCAGCTTCCCTGTGTGCTCTGCTGCTGGGTGACTTGGAGAACAGCCACCTCACAGGACCTGCAAAAGGTCTCTGCCAAAGAGCCCAAGCACCTTCCTCTTGTCTCTCCACCTCCAGCTTCCCCTTCTGTTTCTGTAGCAGAGAGTAGCCCAGCAGCTATCCTTCCCCAGGGGGAATGCAGCCCCATGGGGCTCTACCCTGGGACATGTGGAACCTCCTCCTTGCTGAGATGATGGTGCTGGCCTAGACGGCCCATACTGTGGGAGTAAGGGAACCGGAGGTTGCTTGGAAACGGGCTGGAGGGGCAAGACCCAGACTTGTGTGCATATCCCTGTAGCCAGCTTGTCCACAGGCCTGAGCCAGAGTAATGGAGGAGAGCTTTCTGTCATTCAGATCAGAACTATGACATCGTCACTATTGGGGCACCAGCAGCACACTGCCAAGGTTTTAAGTCAGGAGGTCTCCGCAAAAAGCTGCACAAATTTGAAGAGACCAAGAAACAGTAAGTAGCCAGAGGAGGTTTGTGGTCCTTGTACAGCTGTCTGATGCTTCCCGGTTTAAATAAAATAAAAATGTGAGCGCAAAAACATCCAACCATCTGATCTGCTTTCGCATGATGGGAGGAGCTGCCTCACGGACCCTGTGCTGCTCTGTGTGTGTGTGACTGAGCTGGGTGGTGAAGAGGGCACCTGATGAGTGATTCCATCCTTCGAAATGAACAGCACGTTGTGATCTGCCTTGGAGGTGGGGCTTCGGGTGGCCACCCGGTGCGGACTGGCACCTGATGAGTGATTCCATCCTTCGAAATGAACAGCACGTTGTGATCTGCCTTGGAGGTAGGGCTTCGGGTGGCCACTCGGTGCGGAGGGGCTTCGGGTGGCCACCCGGTGCGGACTCTCTCTCTCTCTGCTGGCTCAGCATCTTTTAGAGTCCCTGATCGATCATTTGAACACCAGAGGCGTAAAGCCTGGAGCACACTGTTTCCTTTCCTGAAGGACAGCAGTGGCAAACATTCCTAGTTTTTTGTTTTGTTTTGTTTTGTTTTTGGTGGTTGGCCAGTACAGGGATGGAACCCTGGACCTTGGTGTTATGAGCACCACACTCTAACCAACTGGGCCAACTGCCAACATTCCTAGTTTTAGAAAGATCCAGGGGCTGCATGGAGCTTCCGTCCTGAGCAGAAAAGTGCCAGGTAGGCAGGGTGGGGAAGTGTGTTTCATCTCTGGACGTGGCAGAAGCAGTGTGTGCTGTGAACCTGGGGACGAGGAGCTGAGGTGGGGAGCTGGCCTCGCTGCCAGCCTGCTCGGCGCTGGGCCATGCATTGGTGACCAGAGATGCCGGCTGCCAGTCTAGGCCTCGTCCTGGAGAGCTTAGGACCTTGCCCAGGAGCAGGCAAGTCAGCAAGCACCATTTGGGTGAACAGTACCTGAAAAGGAGGCACGCAGAGGGGTGGGGGCGGGGCAGGGAGCGGGCATCACCCCATCTTGGGTGGTGGAGGGCTGTAGTGCAGGCTGTTGTATTAGACACACAGGAGACACTGGTGATCTTCCAGAATGTCACCTGTCAAGATTTAAATGGATCAAGGTGTGCGAGTGTAAGAAGTGGAAGGGATGAGTGTAGGTGATTCTGTGGGGTCCTTGAACAGGCCACAAGGTGTGTTTAGGCTGATGGGAAGGATGAACATTGGTGGAGCAGGGTTCTGGAGAAGACGAGGCAGCAGGACCAGGCCGTTCATGCTAGAAGGGACAAAAGAAGAGATGGGCTTGCAGAGAGATTTTCGAGGTGGGAAGGAACAAGCCGAGGTATGGATGGAACAGCCTCTGCAGAATGTGGAGTTGAAAGGGTCAGACTTACCAGTTGAGAATGGAGTAGTAGTTTGAGGGAAGGCGAAGCAAAGTCCCAGGCAGCACCAAGAGAATCTCAAAAGATGGTGAGGGGGTCGGAGAGCTTTAGCGCATGCCAGGGAGCTCGAGGGCCATTGCCTGACTGTGCTGCTGTGATGGGAGTCAGGACACAGCTTGAGAAAACGACCATGGACTGGATCAGGGATGGGGTGAAAGGTCAGGTCAGTGGCTGGTCAGTGGCCAAGGGGGTCAGGGGCACGTCTTTGACCACTGGTGAGGCTGGTGGCTGAGCAGGGGCAGAATAGAGTGTGCTGTGAGAAGTCGTCATTCATGTGTGCTCAGACCTGTGTGGAAGCCAGTTCCTTGGGATTTCAGACTCTGCAGAGGTGATCCTGCTCTGCTAATGTCCAAGTGGCTGTTGTTCATTCCTGGCTGGGGTCCGGAGGGGAAGTTCAGCATTCTCTGGGAGCCCAAGACAGCCTGCTTGACCTTGATTCATCCCCCGCAAGGGCACTTCCTTGTGCAGACTAACCATGTAACCAGGCCTGCCTTAGGATTCAGTGACTCTAGTGTTCCTTTGGGAAATGCCACCACAGCTCTGCACAGCCAGCCAGGAGCTGTGTGTCTGCCGCGGCATTGCGTGTTGCCCTGTGAGAGTGTGAGTGTGCGATTTGGGATGCTGTGGACCCTGAAAGGCCAGTCAAGAGGGGGGGCCACCTGGTTGTCCCTGTCCCAGGAGGGCTTGGGTGTTGATACCTGATTACTCTGTGTTAACTAAGTATATAGTGTAAATTGTTGTTTCAGTTTCTGCTAATGTCATAATACCACTTACAGATAGGGTTTTCATCTCTTCCTCTTCCCTTTCAATGCAGAGGTAATTGCCCCCCAGGGGATGTCTCCCTGGGGCTTGAGCATAGGCAGTGACCTTGCTGTAAGGTATAAGCTCCTTGGGTTCTAAGTTTAGTTGTCTCTATAGTCAACAAATAATTTTGAGTATTTTGACAAAAAATAACTTGACTTTTTAATTTTTTTGTTTTGCATTTGGTATGTGCTAACAAACTGCTAATATTTCATTTTGGTTCTTTTCTGTAGCAGTTTTGAGGAGTGTTGGTGAGTTTTCTGTCTGTGGAGAGAGTGTCTGTTTGGGTCTCGATCTCATGCAGAGAAAGCCTGTGCTGTCCCCCCAACCCCTACCTGTGCGGCGCCTCACCCCACCGGGCCACCCTGGGCTCCTAGCTGTGCGCCCTGTAGACAGAGATCTCCCTTCCAACTGCAGTGTTCTTTAACAATGAATAGCCAATCTCCAGTCCACTGGTTTACCTTTAAAACCTGGCCTCAGTTTACTGCTGTGCTCACTCTGAGAAGGGACCCAGTTCTCTTTCTCCCAGGATGAAGAAGAGCCTGACCCGGCTAGTCACCTGGGTGCTGGGACCTCAGGTCCACCATTGATATGGTTGGGAACCCCTTTCTTTTTTTCTTTTCTTTTTACAAGAATCTTGAGGCTTTTCACTTTTAACTTCACCATCACCTCTAGTATGAGTGAAGCCAGCTTGCATTTTCATACTTATTAATTTATGCAGATTTTTAAAATGGTTTTACTAAGGTCAGTCTTACCCCTGGGGGCTAAAAGCCAAGAACTAATATAACTGAGTGACTTTTCCACCACGGAATTAGATGGCAGCCAGAGACCACCATGTCTGCTTCCTGGGGGTCCCCACCGCTGCACCAGGCCCCGAACAGGGGCTCTACAGCGGCGTTCATTAGGAGGCATCTGCAGCTCTTCAGGAAATGCTGCCACCTTAGAGCCACTGATTGAGAAGGCCCAGGGGTCGTGGCTGAGCCCTGCCTTAGGTGTCAGGGCTCTGGTGGGGGCATCTGACAGCAGAAGTCCTGAGGACACCCCCCCACACCATGCAAAGGTCTCTTCTGCTTCCCCTAAGGAGGGCCCTTCCTAAGGAGGGTACTTAGGCATAAAGGAGGGTGGACAGCATCTGGGGAGGGCTGTGGCTGCTCCTCTTTCTTTGAGGGGGAATCCCACAGCTACTTCCATGGAAGTAGCCCCTCAGGCTTCCCTCCCCTCCTTTTCTCTTACTGGGGCCTCATTGAAGGCCTGCCCTTTCCTGCAGCAGAATGAATATTTAGGGGTTGGGTTTAGGGGAATGGAGGAACGGACAGGGAGAGCCAAAGGCCCAGCTGCCCCCAAGGCCTGTCCCTTGGTAAATCCCAGCCAGGCATTTTTGGTTGAAGCTTATCTGGAAAGTTCCTGGGGAACTTAACTGAGGAAACCTAGACTTTCCATAGCCCAGCCTGGGACTGGTGGTCCCCACCCCCAAGACATTACTGAGACAGGTGAGGGCTGGAGAGGAGAGGAAAAGTTATCAGCAGGGGGAGTGTTCCCACCTGGAGAACGTGAGGGACTAAATCCCAGCCAGAGATCACCCAGCCCCCTAGTCCTCCTGCCCTGTGAGGAAGCCAGCTCCGGGATTTCAGACTCTGCAGGGCTGATCCTGTTCTGCTCATTTCCAGAGTGGCTGTGGCTCATTCCTGGCTGGGACTAGAAGACTCCGCTCTTAGGCTCATGTGACATCTGCAGTCTAGCCCGTGACCCCAGCTCTGAGTAGGTCTGGACCATACGTAGGACACTACCTCCTGGGGCTGCCCCAGGGGCTTGCTGGTGGGAGAGCTCGGAGCACAGAATAGTTAGGGGACAAGAGTCTCCCTCTCGAGTTAAGACTTCCTGGGAGTGTCTGTGTTGCGAGGCAGCAAAACGTCTGCACCCTTCCCACCTCTGTCATGTGGCCGCCCCGTTTTTAGAACTAGTTGAGCACACAAGCTTGTATGTTCCTGATTGTCCTTGAACAGCAGCTCTTTGAAATTTGCCTTTTCATACCCCTGCCATATACTTCCCATGCAAAAGTGCCGGGCACTGTTATTAGAACGTGACCTGCAGGCACTCAGGCTGAGTGGGGGGCATCATTTTTCTTTCTGCCTTGGGGGCGGGGATGCGTATTTGTTGACGTGTACACCATCACCTATACATGCAGAAGTGGGCCAGCGCACAGCACCCATTACATACCGTGACCTGCAGGCACTCAGGCTGAGTGGGGGGCATCATTTTTCTTTCTGCCTTGGGGGCGGAGATGCGTATTTGTTGACGTGTACACCATCACCTATACATGCAGAAGTGGGCCAGCGCACAGCACCCATTACATACGTACTCTGAATATTGGGGGCCTGGGAAGATTGGGCTTTTAAGATTCTATTTTGAGATTGTATTTTTAAGACTAAATTATCTAAATGGCAGCTATTCATTTGGAAGAGTGATTGCAGTTTGGAACATGGCTCTGTGGAGTGACTTGTCCCACGTGGGCTTGATTGCAGTCTGCTGCATGGGCTTCTGGCAAACCCATCGTTTTCTGTTGTGGTGTGTGGGCTTGTGTGGTGGTGTTTCTTCATGGGGTGCCTTGGTTTTGGGTTTCTGCATGTTTGCCCCATAGTCTGGCAAGGAAAGGGGCAGCGGCAGTTTCTTGATAAGCTGTCTTCGGGTTTCCCCGGGAAACAGCCCAGTGGGAAGGTTCTCAGCCCTGGCTGAGGTGACCCTTTTCTCATGTTTGCCCCATAGTCTGGCAAGGAAAGGGGCAGCGGCAGTTTCTTGATAAGCTGTCTTCGGTTTCCCCGGGAAACAGCCCAGTGGGAAGGTTCTCAGCCCTGGCTGAGGTGACCCTTTTCTCCAGGGGAGGTGTGGTAAGAGCTGTCCTCCACTTCTCTCTCTGCCCGTGAACTCAAAGGGCAGCCCTCTGAGGGGCCAGTCAGAGCCCCTCATTCATTCCGTGAGGGAAGGGACACTCACTGTACGCAGAGCTCACTGCTTCAAATTTTAGGACGAGACCTCTGCATTGGTGGCTTGTACTTCTTCCTGCTTTCCTTGACTGCTTCTTCACTCTGAAAAATAAATGTATAATATTCGATTGACTGAGATCTGAGCCGTGAGGCATGCAATTTATCATCACTGTCCAGTAGGATCAGACATGCTGGACAGGCCCCTCGAAGCTGGGGGACGTGGAGTCAGTCCTTTGGAGGCTCCTGATTGTGTTGGGCAGTGGCTGGGCTGTAGCTGTGACATCAGATCCCTAGATACACATGCTGCTTGGCAGGGAGGAGGAGGGAAGCAGGAAGAAGCACGGTTGCAGAGCCATTGAGGTCTCCGTGCTTGGCACGTTCTCCACCTCCTTTTTATCTGATGGAACAGTATTTTTCAAAGTGGGGAAGTCCTGGAGCCTGGGAAAGGGAGTCCAGTTGTCTGGGGACTTGCTGGGGTCACACATGTGAGAGAAAGAATAACTGGGTGTTCACAGAAAGTTTGATGTCCTGATTGGCCAAATGAAAAGCCAAATTTGGTTTGTATGTTTGTTTCTGGCAAACTCCAATACCCACTGCAGTCTGTCCTTTCACTGTAATGATCTGACTCCTGATAAGTGGGCCTCATGTCTCTGTTGCTTATAAGTTGACAGACGAGGTCCTTAGGTGAAAGATAATTACCGGGTATGATCAATGTCTGTACACACATGGACACACAGTAAGAATACACATACATACAAATACAGATAAAGGCTTGATTGTGTTTTACTATTTTGAGCTTCTACCATATAGAAGAAAAGATCTAGATTTCCTTTTGCCCATTCGCAACTATGCGAGCCTAGGAAAACACCCCTGAGTAGCAGAATGTTTTGCTTTAGTGTTAGTTGTAGGCTGGGGTTGGGATGATGCTGCCGTGCTCGTCAGATTCAGGAGAACTCCTTGGAATCTGTTTTTATCCTTTTTAGTACATCATCTAGCTGTCAGTCCATAATCTACATACCACAGGACATCATCAGAGCCAAGGAGATCATCGCCCAGATCAACACCCTGAAAACCCAAGTTAGTTACTATGCTGAGCGGCTCTCAAGGGCAGCCAAGGACAGATCCGCCACTGGCCTTGAGAGGACACTTGCCATCCTGGCAGACAAGGTAGGAGGGGCTTCCCTGCTTCATGTGGAGGGGGTTCCGTTGGGTTTCCGGAAGCTGCTGGATACCTCAGATGTGCCTGGATTTGTCCACAAAGAGAGTAGTAACGTTGGGGAGACATTGAAGGTCTGTCTTTAGGTTCATTTCCACAAAGGCCCAGGGAAGTTTGGTGATTTGCCCATGGTCATAATGGCAAGGACAGAGCCCAGGGCTCATGACTGAGGTGCTGCTTCATGCAGATGTATTTTCCAGCAAGTCCATGGGGCTAGTTTTGTTGGGACTGATAACGATTCCCCAACTTTCTTAGTAACGGCCTGAGCACATTTTTTGTGGGGAGGCCACATTTCTACTGTACTTGAATTTGAAGAAAGAAACTGGGCTATTATATAGACATAAGATAAGAACAGTATAATTTTATTGACATACATAGTCAGTAAACCAGCTTCTAATTAACCATAATTAAATCCTGATTAAAAAATATGTAGCTATTGGTCTATACTGAGAGAGCAGATCTGTCAGACTCTTGATGGCGGGCGTTTTTCACATTGCTCCGTCTCTCTCTCAGCACACATACTGTACACTCACACATACACACACTGTCACGCAGAGTCTGATCACACCTCCCCACCTACGCTTGCTCTGCTGGGGTGAGCTGCTGTCTTCACATTGCTCCGTCTCTCTCTCAGCACACATACTGTACACTCACACATACACACACTGTCATGCAGAGTCTGATCACACCTCCCCACCTACGCTTGCTCTGCTGGGGTGAGCTGCTGTCCCCGATCAGAAGGTGTTATATCCTTCACGTGTGTTCACACAGCAAAAAGATTGAGAGCCAGGGATTAGATCCACTGGAAAATAAAGATGTGGTTGTCAGTAGTAAAATTATGGACCATAGAACCCCTGTCGCGTACAGAATTCTCCAGAACCAGAAGTGCTGTGCCAGGAGTCCAGCTGCCCAGAGCCAGGAATTAGGTGCTGAGGTCCAAACAGATAAGGCTGTGGGGACCGAACCAGAGTAATGCCTGGCCCTGTGGACTTGCTCCCTGGATGCTGGGGGACAGCCCAGGAAGTCGGCCAAGGTCAGGATGCTGGGTTCTCTTCAGGCCCCTCCCCTAGCCATAGCAGGTCAAAGGCAGAAGGGGTCAAAGGTCAAAGAATGTCAGCGAAGATTTTTTAGCTTTCTCTCATCTTCCTTGTGTTCTCAAGTCTGGGTGGGAAATTCTTGCGAAGATTCAGGCCACAAGGGTCCTGTGGCAGCCTCTGCACTCTGAGGTCCTGAGGGATGCAGGAGAGCTGGCCTCAGACACGTTCTCCTTTTCTATGAGAAGGCAGGTCTTGCAGCCTCGACCTGGGGCTCAGCAACCCTGCTTTGTGTTTGCCTGCAGACCCGGCAGCTGGTCACAGTCTGCGACTGCAAGCTGCTGGCCAACTCCATCCACGGGCTGAATGCCGCACGGCCTGACTACATTGCCTCCAAGGCCTCCCCCACCTCGACTGAGGAGGAGCAGGTGATGCTTAGGAATGACCAGGACACCCTCATGGCCAGGTGGACAGGCAGAAACAGCCGATCTTCCCTGCAGGTGGACTGGCACGAGGAGGAGTGGGTGAGTCTGCTGCTCGTGGCCGGTCATCCTGCTGCTGAGCTTGGGCTGAAACCACAAAGCCCATTGCCAGCCTCGTCACCTCCAAGGTGCCTGAAGGGTTGGCTCCTTTGTGAACAGGCTCCAGGTTTACTTCCCAGGTGTAGGGAGGGAGACTGTTTCCAGACCTTTGTGTGCATTCGGGGAGCAGGGCTGTGCTGGGGGCTGGGCCAGCCCCAGACGTGGTTGGAACAAGGTGGGTTTTCTCCCCAAGCCCTTGCCCTGTGGGAGGTCTTGGCTCCTCTCCCTGCCTCTCTGTGGCCCCTGGCTGCTGGCGACCAGCCACGCTTCTCCTGCCTTCTCGTTCGCCAGCCCTTCTAGGGCTGTTTGTATCTTTGGAGATGTGGAGCTCAGGTGCTGGGGCAGCTGGGGAGGATTTGGACATTGCTGCCCTGACAGTGCCTCACAGAGGAGCCCTGAGAGCAGGGTCTGTGTTACATCCTACGCCTTGTTTCATTTTTCTTTTTAAAAAATTTTTATCGAATCAAAATTGGTTATACATATTTTTGGGGTTCAACACTGAGATATCTTGATCAAATCAATATTACTAGCATATATATTGTTACACATCTTAATTATTGTTCATGCCCCTTGTCCAATCTCTCTTCCCCTCTCCGTCCCCCTCCCCCCTCTAATTACCCTAAATTTCTTCTCTCCTTCTGAAAGTTGTTGCCTAGATGATCTGTCCAATGCTGAGAGGCATGATCAGGTCCCCCAATATTATCATAGAGCAGATGCTTCTTCTGTCACTCTGAAATGGGCTTTGTGGAGAGAGACGTCCTCTTTTCTTTATCTCTGCTGGTAACTCTCCCTGTGTCAATGCACTCCAGTGGCTGGCAGACCATCTGCGTGGTGATTGTGGTGTTTAGCCACTTTCACAGCAGCCATGGTTATTGTGGTGGCTGTGGTGGGCCACCCACATGGAGGAGATGTTTTTGGCATGCTCCTTGGTGGTGTCGGTGTGCCTGGTTGTGGGGAGTGTCACAATCCATGCCTCAGGTCCCCAGGGTGGATCCCGAGGTGCTGGCATGATGTGCCTGGTTTTGGGAGGGGGGATCCAATCCTCCTCTCCATGCCTTGGGTCCCAGGGCAGGCCCCGAGTGCTGGCGCAGTGTATCTAGTTGTGGGAGGGGGATCGGGCCCCCACTCCATACCTCGGGTCCCTGGGTGGGCCCCAAGGTGCTGGCCTGGTGTACCTGGTTGTAGGAGGGGGATCTGATCCCCTTCTCCATGCCTTGCGTCCCCCGGTGGGCCCCAAGGCACTGGTGGTGTAAGTGGTTGTGGGCAGGGGTCCTGTCCCTGGCTCCATGCCTCACGTCCCCTGGTGGGCCCCAAGGTGCTGGTGGTGTGCCTGGGCCAGAACTAATTTTTTGTCCTTTGCTTACTTCTAACACGGGGGAACTTCCTGTGGGAACCAGTACTTGAGCTGTGTGGTTGAGCTAAATTGCTGCTTTGCTGCTGTTTCCTTAGAGAAGGCTTTTTGTGCAGCTCAGGGTTTAATGGTTGACTTTATAGGTGCTTCTAGTTCTCCAGAGACTCAGTGCACCTGGGTTGTGTAGAAACTCTGATCTGGGTCTTAGTTTTTTCATCAAACTTCACCCCATGCAATTCTGCATCCCCGACCAGTCTCCTCTGAGTGGTCCGGCGCTGACTCGGGGGCAGATTGACTGTCCTTGCTGTGCCCCAGTGTTCTCCCGGTGGGCCCCTGTCTCCCCCACCCCCTGTGCTCCAAACACTTCCCATGGGACAGGCCCTGTGCCGGTCCCTTTCCTTGACTCACTGGCCTCTGAATGGCTCCCCATTTTCAGCTGTTCTGTCTCCTCGTAGTGGTTTTGCTGGGGGCCACCAAGGCTCTCCCCTTCTGCCTCCAAGTAACTCCATCTGAAGGGCACGGCTATGGCTTCTGCTGGCTCCTGCTCCATGCGCTCAGCAGCTCCAGCATTAAAGCAGCTGCATCCCGAAATGCTCAGAGCAGCTTTTTCTTTCTCTTACCGTGGTTTCTCCTGCCTTCATGAACTCTGTAGGTCTCTCCTCCTCTTCCCCTGAGCTCTAGCGGCCCCAGCTTGGCTGATGTTACATTTTTATGTTTGTAAATTAGTTGATTTGTGGGAGAGAGTGACTCTGGGGACTGTCTATTCTGCCATCTTGACTAGAACTCCCCCGTGACTTGTTTTGCCACATGTGGGGACCACTGCTTAGAGGCCTTGTTCCAGGAAGCACTGAATTATTCAGCGGCAGCAAAGTGGCCCTCCAGCTCTGCCATCTTGTAGTCTGCCTGGGTTTCTGCAGATCACTCTTAGCCCTCCCTCCCTCCTCCACACCTCCCCTCCTAAGTGATCAGCTGTTTCCATCCCCTTCCACCAGAGAGAGGCTCAGCCCTGCTGCGTGTGAAGGTTGAGGAGGCCTGCAGTGGAGAAGGAGGGGATAGGACCCTGTGCCCTGAGACCCTTCTGGCCTCTGAGAGAGCTACTAGCAAATATCTCCCAAACTTTAAAAACAGTGACCATAGGGCATTAATTAGTCTTTGAGAAGCTAATATGACCTTAGTGGGGAATTGTGAATCATCTTGATATTTCTTTTTTTTTTATCAAAGTTCTTTTTTGGAGTGGGGGGGCGGGGATGGTGGCTGGCCAGCACAGGGACCAGACCCCTTGACCTTGATGTTATAAGGCTGTGCTCTAACCAACTGACCTAACTGGGCTGCCCTGTTGATATTTCTGTCTTGTGCTATTTTTTTTTTTTTTTAAGATGACTGGTAAGGGGATCTTAACCCTTGACTTGGTATTGTCAGCACCACGCACTCCCAAGTGAGCCAACCGGCCATCCCTATATAGGGATCTGAACCTGTGGCCTTGGTGTTATCAGCACCACACTCTCCCAGCATGGTGGCCCGGTTGGGGGATCAGTGGAGAGGGTTTGGTTTGTGTTCTGCTTTGGTTTTCCCATTGGGAGAGCTAACCCAAATGGGCCTTTTGGTTCGGAAGGAGAAAGTGTGGCTAAACGTTGACAAGAGCCTGGAGTGCATCATTCAGCGGGTGGACAAGCTGCTGCAGAAGGAGCGTCTGCATGGTGAGGGCTGTGAGGATGTCTTCCCCTGTGCGGGCAGCTGCACCAGCAAGAAAGGTAACCGGGACAGCCATGCCTACTGGATCAGACCGGAGGACCCCTTGTGCGATGCCCCTTCCTCGCCATGCCCCTCCACCATGCCCGCTGCTGCATGCCATCCTCACCTGACCACACGTGCGTATGAATTCACGTTCCCCACGCCGCCTCCACCGCACGCCTCAGCGCTTCTTTCTGTCTGTCTGTGTCTCAGTCCATGCCCTCCTCCCCTTGCAGACTGCAGGGAGGGTGTCAGGCAGAGCGGGAGCGTCCCAGTGCACGGAGCAGCAGGCAGTGAGGGCGGAGGCTCCGGTTGTCTTTCCACACAACTGAAACCCGGGTGTGAATCTGCATCTCCTCCACAGGCAGAATCTCGGGGCCCTCCTGGGTCACACTGCCATGGCAGCAAGGGTTGGGCTCTTGGGCTTTTCAGGTTTGTAAACGGCTATGAGAACCTGAAGGAGGCCGGGATGCAGCTGCCTTTCTGGTATGATTGTTTATTGCATTAGGAATTGGTACAGTGAAGGAGAAGATGAGTCATGCAGGGACACAGCTGGATGAGGGATGTTAGCAGGCCCAGAGGACTTGGCTGAAGGCTGGTTGTCATTGGCTGGGCATGCTCTTATCTAGCAGAGGCATGTTGCCTGGGGACCTGGGAATGCAGATAGTGGCACCCCATTCCTGGGCCTTTGGTGGGCTTAGTGAGGTTCCGTTTGGCACCAACCTTCTGGTGAGAACTTCAGTACATGGTAGGACATTGGCATGAAACAACATGCTTCAGAAACATTCTTCTGTCTGCAGAGACAGAGTGTACCTAGACACTCTGCTCTGCAGATAACCTTAAAGCTGGGGAGCAAATGCTTTCTCAACAAGCGATCCTTGGTCCCTGCAACTCAGGTGCTTCCCACCTTTACCTTTAACATCTGGAAAGGGTTTTGGCCCAGGCAGCTGAGACCTGGCTGCAGACCTAGCTGGTGCCTCCTCTTGCTCTCCCATGGAAGTTTTAAGCCATAGTAAGTAAGGCCCAGATGTGCCGGGGATAGGCTTCATGCAATGAGGGCTTTTAAATTCTGAGTTGGGCAACTTCCATTCACAGCAGAATTGTACTCCTTTGTCAGAACCTCTTGATAAATCTTTCTTCTGTTTATAAGATGCCCTTTTTCTCTTTAATCTGCCTGCAGTCTGTTTCCAGGGCACTATGTCACTTGAACCTCTGTTACACAGTATTCACGTCAGCCACCTTTCCATCTATGGGGCATTTACAGTTTAACTTCCCCAAACCTGTGATTGGTTCGTGGAGCTATTTTGTCTCTGTGTTCTTGTTTTTCTTTATGTAAATTGTATTTCTTTTTAAAATTTTCTTAAAGTTCATTACTAATTTCTCTTTAATATTATCTTGTTTATAATTTTAAATATTTTCTGCAGATATAAACAAAGTAATTTATTGGATTTTTTTTTTAAATGCACGAGCTAGTTTGTTTAATCAGATGTGCTGTATATCCATAACTTGAATGCCATTTTTTTTTTTTCTGGGCACATCCTGGTATTGCTTAAATGTAGACAAATTTAAATTCAGTTTTAAAGTTATTTAAATGAGCTTTTACTTATATTTGGGGTTTGGTTTGTAATTATGTGTGCCATTAAAATCAGCTCTGTTGTACTAATGGGAATATGAAGCATACATTTGAGAGAGAGTAAGTCTGCTGATCAACACTCAAAGAAATGTATGAAACCATATGCCACTAAATTAACTGTGGATGATCCTTAATTTAAAAATCTTTAGCATAGTCAGGAAGCTGTTTAGACCTCAGTGTGGTCAGGAGGATCAGAAAGAACTAGACTGTGAGCTCTTTATTTTGGTGAATTGCTTGTCCACTGTGCCAGAGCTTGGGTCTGTCGTGACTTTTTATACCATTCCAAGTCACTGGAGCAGCTGTTTTGGCTTAATGAGCAGGTTGTGTTCACACCAGCATATTTGTTATATGAGAATAACTGTAGTGCTTTGAAAGACCTCATCACTTTTCTTTCCAATTCTCTACCCCGTCCTGGGTCCTGGGATTTCATTTTTCACCAGGGAGCTGCCTTGCCTCTCAGCTCAGCTTCCTGCAGAACTGATCAGAAGGGGGCCACACCCTCCTACACACCCCCACCTCCCAAGGAGCACCTAATTGCCCCACCGGGATTTGGTGGCTTTTGTTGCCTTCCTCTTGCACACTGTCCTGCTCTCCTCATGCCCGAAGAGTCATTCAGACCCCAGACCAGGCTTTTCTTAACCTGGGGTCTGTGGGTGCAGGTGTGTGTGCCCCTGAGATTTTGTGCTGAAATTTGCATGTGCATGGAGAAAAAGTCCATAGTGGTCATCCAATCTCAAGGGACTCCATGACAAGTTACAAGCCGCTGGTCCAGCAGTACCAGAGGAGACCCTGCCCCTTTGACTGAAAGATGAGTTTAGCAAACTGGGTTTAATCCCTCACGTCCTCACAGGAGTGGTCTCAACCTGCCTGTGTAGGACCACCACAGAAGCTTATAAAATAGGCTCTTAAACTTTTTCTCCTCATTCAGAGACTCGGAATCCTGGAGGAGGCGTTGTGGGAGGCAAAATTATGTAGTTTTTTCCCTCACGTCCTCACAGGAGTGGTCTCAACCTGCCTGTGTAGGACCACCACAGAAGCTTATGAAATAGGCTCTTAAACTTTTTCTCCTCATTCAGAGACTCGGAATCCTGGAGGAGGCGTTGTGGGAGGCAAAATTATGTAGTTTTTTGAGGCCCGGAATAATTCTTATTAGCCAGAGAGATGTTTAAGAATCACTGCTCTGCGTCACTCCATACCACTGTGGACCTTGCTCTTTGCTAGCTAGATGGTCTCAGGGTATTTGGGTTCTAACAAAGAGGCTGAACTCTTAGTTTACAGAGGCCTTTATATTTTCTATGCCCTTGGCCAGTTTGAGGAGTCATTTCCAAAGGTCGTTAGAGAGGAATGATCCCCTGCCAACCCCTTCTGGACAATCCACGTTGTAAAAGTCTCCTTAAATTTCGTTCTGGCTGTCCTTGGGGATCTGAAAGTGCCTCATTTCAATATCCCAAATATATCGTTTGAGCTGAAATGTTCAGACATAAAGTAAACTTTTATTTCCATGTTCCCTTTTCAAACTTGTTCTCTCAGATAGCAAAGCCAGGAATTTTAGAGTTTTTAAGGGCAATGTGAAATTGAAATGAGTACATCCCAGTGTGACTCGGTGTAGGTGAAATGGAATCAGAATTGGTAGTCTGATTTTCATTGCACCTGGACGGACATTTTCATTGGAGACTTCTCCCAAGTCACAGAACTTTTACATTTGGTTTCAATTTTTAAGACTGGCATAGGGTTTTTTTGGTATATTGGTTTCATTACTGGATTTTAATCTTTTGGATTTCGGCTGTGAGTCTGGGCAGTGGGCTGTGACTTGGGAATGCTCAGTTGACTGGTCAGTCTCTTTCTCCAAACTTGCTCCCAGATGTTGTGAGCCAACATGGGGCTCACCACTACAATGTGATTGATGTGGGCGCTTTTTTCCGTGGCATTTATCACATTGTACAATGTCAGCTCACTCATCTGAAGAGCATTCCATGTTGGAGCATTGGCAACATGAACATTGATGCTGGCGAGTCCAGTGTCATGTACTGAGAGGGCTCGGCTGCCTCGTGAGCCCTGCTGGGAAGAGGCAGTCAGGCACCTGGACCTCTTCTCTGTTTGGTTCAGCCGCCTTACTGCGAGCTGCTGCTGCAGCTGTGCTGAGACCGGGTGCTCGCGTGTGAACTGTGTGCCGCTCCCTAACCATGCGTGTCGCCCTCCATTTCTGTGCAGATTGCAGCCCCCCTCCTGAAGAGGCCAGCCCAGGTACGTGCTTTCCATTCCCAGCTCCTGCTGATGGCTTGCTAATACTCAGGTAGCATTCGTAGCTGAATTACCAAAGATTACCTACCGCTCCTAGGGTTGGGAAAATATGTTAGGACCTCCTTTGTTGTGAGACGTAAAACTTTTCGTAGGTTTGGTGAGGAAGTGGCTGGGCTGAGGGAATTGTGGCCTGAAGCAGGCTACCACGTGCATTTTTTGTTTTCTTGTTTTTTCTTTTTTTTACTTTTACATCCTAAAACCTTTTCAGATGAGTACCATTCTTGAGTGCGTTGGGCTTCCTGGAGTGGGTGAGCTGCTTTAGAGAAGCACACATTTGTACACAGCACTTCCTGTGCATTCACCTGAACTTGTAAGCATTGCTCTGAGGACACAGTCAGATGATACGTATCTACCCAAGTGTTGTAACATTGGCAGTCGGGCAGCATCCTCTCTTCTGAGCCTGCAGTTAGTGCTAGAAATGGGACCTTTTTGCTGCATTTGCACGTAGAAACCAGTGCTTATGGTTCTAGTTCACAGGTTGGCAAACTACTGTCTCAGCTAAATCCTGTCCACAGCCTGCTCTTATTTTATTGGAAACCATTCACGCCCACCTGTGCACATATTGTCTGTGACTGCTTTTGTGCAGCAGTGCCAGAGTTGAGTCCTTTGCAACAGAGACCCTGTGGCCTTCAGAGCCTAAAATATTTACTTGTCTAACCCTTTACAGAAAAAGTATGCCAACCCCTGATCTAGCTCATATTGAGTTGCCTGGATATGCCTTGCAGTTTTCCAAGAGTGAGCATGAGCCCATGAGCCCCTCAAATAATATGGTTTGGATTTTTTTCTCATACTCCAAAAATCAGCTATGTGATCAGTCTGATTATTGCATATTTCTTACTAGATATGAATGTAAGATAGCAGGATACCTGCTTTATATCTAGAGTGAAGCAAACCAGTGATTGTGGGGTTTACCCAGGTGTTCCCGTCAGTTTAGTGAATCCTGCCTGCTCACACAGCAGCATGAATCGGCTTGCAATGGTGACTCCCAGCAGCACCCCCTGGGCCCCATTTGAAGTTAGCTCATCAGCAGGCTAATCTGATTGGAAACATCATACCCTCCCAATTTGCTTTCAGCCCCTTCACAGTTTCTCTTTCTCAAAAAGTCAGCGTAGCTGGTCTCCAACCTCAACTCCCTGGACCCTCAAGGTCACCAAGGCTGTGGTAGATGCACAGACACTTAACCTGGCTCTTTTCCCCCATTGGGTCTCCTGGCCGCGCCTCATCCTTTTCCTTAACATCTGTCCCTGGGCCTCCAGTCCTCCTTCTGCTTACCTCCGCAGAAGGCCAGTGTCTGCAGACTGAGTTGACTGTCCCCTGAGCCTCAGTGGTGAGGTCCGGGACCACCCACACCCAGCATTAGGACCAGGAAAGGGTGGTGAGCCTGCCTGGTGGAAACGCACGGTTTCTTCTCAATGCTGGGTTTCCTGGGTCAAACCATGAGGGAGTCTTGTGCTTTCCCAGGCAGCACACAGACAGTGCCTGGCTTGTAGAACCCTCCTTGTTTTATGTCAGCTGTGTCACCTCCAGAGCACTGGTGGCTTTTCCTCAGGCAATGTTAAATGGACTAAAATGGTCCCCTGCCAGGGGTTCCTTTGGCTTTTCCTGTGGAGCTGTATTTAATCTGGGTTAAAACACACACATATACAAAGGCACACGCTCTCTCTTTCCCTCCCGTACTAATGAGGAAAAGAATGCAAAAGCAGAGTAGGGATTTGAAAGAGGCTTTCAAAGTTATCGAAAGCAATGTGGTCCGTGGATTGACTACCAGGCAGCAGTGCTGCAGGTTAGCAACTAGATAAGGAGCTTGCCCCCAAAAGTGGATCAGCTACATCACTAAGGACATTGTTTGGTTGAGCAGATTTTTTTTTCATAGCAAGACGTTTTCAATGAAGGAAGCAGAGTGTAAACCCTTTACCAACTCCAACATTCCAGGTCCTGGGTAGAAATCATGTAACTGTCCATGAAATTTTCTTATTGTTAGTGTCTCCTCATATTGAAAAAATATACTAGCAGAAGCAGTCTGATATAATAGAGATAACATGGAGTTCAGAGTCAGTCATACGTGTGTACAAAGGCCAGCCCTTTTTGTGTGTCTGGGAAGACACTTAACCTCTCTGAGTCTGTTTTCTTACTTATATTATAAACTTCTTTCTGTGATTACATGAGAAAAGTTATAAAGTGAACTACTCACAGGTGTGCGTGAATGGTGGTTGATGCTTGTGGAACTCCAGAGCCATCTAGACACGTTCGAGCCCTGCTCTGGGCAGATGGCAGCCTCCCTCCCACCGAGCTCCATGTCTCCTCTTTTCCAGGACGTATGTCATAGTGCTTTTTAGCCAGTCTTCCTGTACTCCAGTTTTTTTTTTTTTTTCACTTTTTTCCTAATGTAGCAAAAAAGAGTCATTCTTATATGAATTTTTTTAAAGAGAAGTAAGTTGTATGGAGAGGGTTTGCATAGTCAAATAAGACCACTTGTATCTTCTGATTGTTGTCAAGTTAAAATGATCATAATTTGCATATTAATTGTATATGTTTAGGCATGTTAAATGGAAAAGCAAAGTAAAATTGGTGACATTTGCTCTAAGAGCTTTTACTTAGTGAAGAATAGTCAGAATGACTGCCTGCCTTTCCCCAAGCCATTTGGCCAGTAAAACCTAATTGCCATTGGCCTTTATTGGAAGGGGCTGAATGCAATTGACTTGCATTCAACAGAGTTGTTCAAAGAAAGAAAAATGTGGTCTGAGAATTTTAGAGGAAGAGAGAGACTTGGATATTGTCTAATGCTGCTCTCACTTTACCAAAAAAGACCACATGGCTGAGGGATCGAGGGACTTGCCCAGGTCCACCCCTGCTCTCAACGGTGGCCCACTCGCGGGCTCACAGTTTCCACTTCTCAGTCCAGTGTTCTTTGTCACTGTGAGTTATTTACTGAGACCTTTCTGTTGTGGACTTACTAAATTTAAGCCTACTTTTTTTCCATTGCAGCTGTAAACCGTGTCCACGTACAGTATGCCTGCATATACAGTTCGATTATTTCCACTTTTGAACTGCCATGTGAACTTAAAAACCCACATTAGCCAAACACTGAATGTAGGGAAGTTCTTTTGCATGTTTCTGGTCTTCCTCTAAGTTTGTTTCTCAACAAAGTGCCCACTACACAGCTGGGTAGAGCAGAGCTGAGTCTCCCCCTCTGACTTTAGATTCTGTTTATCTGAGACAAATTACCCTCTGGAGGCTGCACTGCTCGGAGGCTGCACTGCTCGGCGGCCGCGGCCTGGGGCTCTCTGTGGCTCACACCCTCATCCCAGAGGGCACACACTGCTCGCTCCACTCCCCTGTCCCTCACCATGTTTGGTGCGGTGGGCTCACCAAGTGGTGGTGATCAAATGCCTATTTCTGGGCTTAGTGACCTGTTAAAAGTATAATTCATGAGGGCATGTCTTCTTTTTTAAATGTCTTCTTAATAGGAAGGAAAAAAAGGGCCAAAACCAAAAATACCTTTTACCCTGTTTTTCTCCCTTGAGGTTCTATTTTTGAAAAGTTCTTTTGGTACAGGGTCAAAGTTTCCTTATACTCCTAAAAGAAAACTAAGCTAGAAATAGATGGCACCGAGTGGGAAGGCGGGGCAGGGGAAGAAAATGAGTTCAGAAGGAGGTACAGGGTCAAAGTTTCCTTATACTCCTAAAAGAAAACTAAGCTAGAAATAGATGGCACCAAGTGGGAAGGCGGGGCAGGGGAAGAAAATGAGTTCAGAAGGAGGGGACGCTCTGAGAGTTGGAAACACAGGACACATGTGCACTGGTCTTCCCTCCAGACGTGCAAAGTGAGAATTGAACACCGTTGCATGTAAGGCTGGACGAGGACAGAGTTGGTCCCTTGCTCTAGAAAGACAGATGTCTTTTCCTTCATACCTGGGTCCAGAGAAGTGAGATAACAGATCACTTTTCTGGGTGTCATTCTTTCTCCCGGTGGAGGGACCATGGTGCTGTGGAAGGAGGTTGGCCTCTGCAGACAGAATCATTTTCTGGGCTCATCATGACTTGTAGAAGCTTTTTTGTTGTTTTCCTCAGAAGGCACAGTCTTGAGTATTTATGTGCAGCATCCCCAGTGCTTTCAGGAGACAGAGCATGCATCAGCAGTACCAGAGTACAACTGAGGTTTGAGGTTCCTGGAAAGACTTTGGGCTAGAGGGTTAGAGACTGGGTTGGTTCCGGCAGAACTCAGTGCTAGTTCTAGGCCAGAGCGTGGGACAAGCAGAGTCAGAGCATGCAGAAGGAGGGAGAGGTCAGTACAGACTTGTTAAATTTCTAGAACCTGATTCTTAGGTTCTTTCTTGCTCGTGCCCAGGTGAATGGAGCGAGGCCCTTTACCCGCTGCTGACCACCCTCACAGACTGCGTAGCCATGATGAGCGACAAGGCCAAGAAGGCGATGGTCTTCCTGCTCATGCAGGACAGCGCTCCCACCATAGCCACCTACCTGAGCCTGCAGTACCGCCGCGATGTGGTCTTCTGCCAAACCGTAAGCCCCAGGGCTGCCACCAGGGAGGCCACAGGCACCTCCTGCCTCTGGAAAAATAAGCTTAGCAAGCCTCTTTCCCTCTCCCTCCACTTGTAAAAAGCCACAGATGGCCACATTTTCTCCTGCCTGTTGCTTTTAAGTTTACTTAATAGAGAGCTCTAGATTTCAGCACAGGGAGGAAACCTCCCCGGTCAGCAGGTATTTGTCCCTGAAGAACGGGCACCGGCAGAATGTGCCAACTCTGCACCGAGGAGAGAGTGGTTGCAGATGGCACAGGCCTGTTTTCTGTCTTTTTTCCCCCTTCAAAGGAGTTTAGTGAGGACAACGTGATGTTTGCTGTCAGCACAGTCTGTTTTCCTGTTCATGACACAGCAGGTGTCTTAGTTCTGCAGCTTGTTGCAGAATTCTTTTTTAATGATTTCTGTTACCTTTCCGAGAAGAGAAGAGTTTAAGAAAATGTAACAAGCTTAATAGATGCCAGGAATCAAGTCAGTAAAGTGAACAGAGGTGTAGGGTTGGGCTGGTTCTCTGCAGTTCCCCCTTCCGTCCTGGGGAGGACTCTTTCATCCCACAGACAGTCTCTCACTGAGGAAACATTGAATGACCATGTTCTCTCTCACTTCTGTTCCCTGTTGCAACAACTCAGTTTCCAGCTAGAGCTGGCATAGATCTGTAAGTAGATAGACCCTTTCACTGTAGGCAATTAATTCTGGGTTTCCAGAAGGTTCCAACCCAGGCATAACCCCAGGCAGGTCAGGTCAGAAGCTGGGCCAAAACCAAACCCACCTTTGGTAGCAACGGGAGCAGCAGGCCTGGAGTGTGACACATCCTCCCAATGGCTTCTGCCCTGCATGGCCCCAGAGCCATGGCGTCCCCACTCCCCAGGCTCCCCGAGGGACAGGAGGCGCTGCTGAAGCCCCTTTGAACAGAGAAAGCAGAGGAACTCAGGACCCGGGGTCAGTCACCAGCCGACCGCTGTTTGGTGAGCAGGTGTCTGTCCCCTGCAACCACCGCACCCTGTATCTCCCGCAGCTGACCGCTCTCATCTGTGGTTTCATCATCAAGCTGAGGAACTGCCTGCACGACGATGGCTTCCTGCGGCAGCTCTACACCATCGGGCTGCTGGCACAGTTTGAGAGCTTGCTGAGCACCTACGGTGAGCCTCCGGGGGGCCTCCGCGCTCCTGGGATCCAGAGCAGCGGTTGGTGCCATGTGTGGTTTCCATCCTTTCTTCCTGGATACATTTTGGATTACACAAGTAATGCATGCTGATTAAAATAAATGCAAACATCCTCAAAATGTACAACAGAGAATCAACTGAAAGTCCTGTGCAGTTACACACACAGCTTCCTTGGTTTAGTTGGTTGTTGTTTGTTTGTTATATTCTTGATAGTCTTTGTAGTTGAGGATGACCATAATTATTTAACCCGTCACTTCCCGTAGGACATTTGGGTTGCTTCTAAATTGTTCCTATTAAACCAATGCTGCAGTGACATCAGTGTACATAAGGCACACGTGAGCCCATTTTGGTAGCCACTGAATTACCAGAAGGAGAGTTGCTGGGTCAAAGGGTCAAAGTATTTTAAAATTTAATAGATATTTTCAATTACCCTCCAAAAAGGCTCTCTTCTCCCTACCCTTGTTTTCTATTTATTTATTCTGAGAAGGTGAAAATGGACCATTCTTAAAAGTACTTGTTTATCTTGGAGTCACAGGACATCAAGTAGATATCAAGCCCCATGGGATGGGAGGATCTGGCCCCCAGTGACCCTGTTTTACTGTCCCACCTTCCATTTTTAAAGAGCTGGCTTTGCCTTCCGAGTTCCGTGCATCCTGTTCCCCCCACAGTCCTGTGCAGGACCAGGAAAGGGTTGGGGAGGCTGGTGTGTGTTTCCACCAGCTGCATTTTCTAAGGCGGCCCTGCGACTGCAGTAGCAGCGTTTACTCACAAAGAAGGGAGTCACAGGGAAGTGGCTCAGAGCGGCCCCCATCCACACCTCGTTTGTTGCCTTCCATCTGTACCTGACCCCACAACTCTGCTGAGTCCCTGGGGAGAGTGGCTGGGCCCCTCTGCCTGATGGCTTCCTTCCCTCTCTTGCATCCAGGTGAGGAGCTGGCAATGCTGGAGGACATGAGCCTTGGAATCATGGACTTGAGGAACGTGACCTTTAAAGTCACTCAGGCTACTTCTAATGCATCAACTGACATGCTGCCCGTCATCACAGGAAATCGGTAGAAATGTTTGTGTAAAATTATCCAAGCCAGAGCAGTGTTTTTCATTATGCTTATCTCATATGATGCACTCTTCCTCTTTTTTATTTGTATTTTGTTTCATCCTGTTACAAACGCTGGTCACAGCCCCCTACCTGAATTTCATCCCCCATAGAGGCCCGTGCCTGCAGCTGGGGCATCGCTGAGCCGGCGGCCTGCCTGGCTGTCATGCTGAGGCGAGCTCGGTGCCCTGCATCGCCCTCCCAGTGTCCGGGCCTCACCCTGCTCTTCCTCTCTCCGCTTTCCTCCAGCGATGGCTTTAATGTGCGGATCCCTCTGCCAGGCCCGCTGTTCGACGCTCTGCCCCGGGAGCTCCAGAGCGGCATGCTGCTGCGCGTGCAGCCCGTCCTCTTCAACGTGGGCATCAACGAGCAGCAGACCCTGGCCGAGAGGTGCGTGCCGCCCAGTAGGGGGCCGAGCGGCTGGAGGGATCACGGAGACGACGTAGAAAATGTCCTCTCCTCTCTTCAGGCTCTGTGCACTGACTGTCGTCCTGCCCTCCTTTGGCCAACACGCCTTCAGCAGGACCGTGCACCCGGCAGTGTCTCTAGTGCTGGGGACACAAAGATGAACCACGTGTGGTCTCTGTCCTCAGACACTCAGGCTGGTGGGAGAGAGCGATGCGGGTGCCCTGAGGCACATAAATGCGGGGAGTTTTGGGATCCCGAGTAGGGGCACCCACCAAGGTCCAAGAGGGTCTGGGAAGGCTTTCTGGAGGGGGTGATGTCTGAAGTGGGATTTGAAGTGTGAGTAGGAGTTAGAGAGTTGAGGAGGTAAGGGAGAGACTGGGTGTCCCAGGCCAAGAAGACTGAGCAAAGGCCTGGTGGGGACTAACAGCATGGGACTGAGGCACCAGGGTCCAGACCAGGATGGGCAGTGGTGAGGGCAGAGCGGTCGTGTGTGCCAGCCCAAGAGTCGTGCCTTGATCTGAGGGCTTCTGCCTTGTAAACTCTCCTCCAGGGTCACTTGCCACACAGCAGAGAGGAGCCAGGTGTGCTCGTGTGCGCATGCGTGCCTGTGTGTGCATACCTGCGTGTGGGTCAGACGGGTGAGCTGGGCGTGTGTAGCCTGTGATGGCTTTCCACTAGTAAATGAAGACCTCTCTTGTGCTGCCATTTACATTATAGTGACATGTGCATTTTAGTATAAAAAGACATCTTAAAGTACTTGCTGTTAAGGAAATTTGGTCTCCAGGATGCTCTGCCATATTACTGCTGGGTTCTTTGAGCCCAGTGGTCAGTGTCCCTTGATCCCTAGGAGTAGGGTCACCCCACGCAGGAAGCATGGCTTGGGTGCTGGGAGATTTTGAAGAATTGGGTAGGGATGGACATGTTAAGTAGATCATGTTGCTGGCCATGTGCCAGAAGGGGGAGAGGGGACAAGTGCGACGAGGTTGCTGGAGAGAGCCTAGGCCAGAGGAAGTGACCTGGAGCAGGGAAGGGGTCGTGCGGATGAGTTCAGACTGGAGAGTTGGTTAAGAGGCAAATGGAAGGATTTGGTCTGCAGTTGGGCTGGTGTGAGGGAGAGAAGTGAGGTGTAGACCAGACAGACCCAGGCTTCTAGATTGAGGGAGGAGACAGGAGGAGGGCCACTCTCGGAGCTGGTGGTGAGCTGGGCTCGGTTGAGGGCACCAGCCCAGGAAGCAGAGACCTCATAGGTGTGTGCACAGCTGGGAGAGCCCACTTCTGAGGTGTAGACCAGACAGACCCAGGCTTCTAGATTGAGGGAGGAGACAGGAGGAGGGCCACGCTCGGGGCTGGTGGTGAGCTGGGCTCGGTTGAGGGCACCAGCCCAGGAAGCAGAGACCTCATAGGTGTGTGCACAGCTGGGAGAGCCCACTTGATGTGCACTTCTCTCCCGGATTCCCCAGTAAATAGTCACCGAGCACCTGCTCTGTGTAAAGCACCACAGGACCAGATGGTGAATGAGCCCTTCCCTGCCTGGAAGGGAAAGGCGTCCAGAGGGTGCTCTGCCTCTCTGTGTGGGTGGCTCCCGCCTCTAGGAGGTGCCACACGGAGGCGAAGGAGACACTGAGTTACACTAATGTTCCTTTCTCTTTTTTTGTGTGTGGCCGATACGGGAGGCTGAGCCCTTGACCTTGGTGTTATCAACACTGCATTCATGTTCTTGGATGGGAAACTCCAAAGGGGGAAGACCATTATGGCTCAGAAGATGTGGCCAGGCTTCATTTGTGTTCAGCTGGAAGGAACTGTGGATCTCAGAGTTTAGAAATGGTCGTAAAATGATGATGCTGGCGAACATGTACCGGCCACTGATGTGCCAGGCGCTGGGCTAAGTGCTGCACACACATTTCTGTACCAAGCCCCACACCTTCCAAGGCTGGTGTTGGTGGCCCTGTCAGATGGGGAAAAGGGCTGTCTGGCTCTGAAGCCTGTGGCGGGGGCAGGGTCTGGGCATCGGGGTCTCAGAAACTCCCTGGGTGATCATGAGATGCCGCATCCAGTGTTGCAAACATGACATTAAGAGCCAAGTAAAAAGAGCACTCAGCTGAAGGTCACAGTATCGGGCACTTCGGAACCCAGTTATTGAGGCGTCCTCATGTTCTGAGCAGGTGCCTGGAGGAGAAGCCATGGTGGGCACCAGGGGTGGATGCGCTGTGACCCACAGGAGGAGGTCCTGCCGCTGAGGGAAGTCATAAGACCATAAAGAGGTGATGTTCAGGGAGGCTGCTCAGCTGGGGGTGGGGGACTGGACTAGGGACCTGTCTTGGACTTCAGAGCCTGTGTTGTGTAAGGATCACCTAGTGCTTCCCCTGCAGGTGGTATCCACGACCTCTTCCCGTAGGCATTTGGCACATGCATGTGGGGTGTGCCCCGAAGGATGAGAGAGAAGGCAAGGGGCCTCACGGTCAGTCCAGGAGGGACAGTCAGGTGTTAATTCGTCGGGCAGTGACTGATTGCAGTCTTGAGGACAGGGCTGTGCCCCACTGCCATTCCCTTTACTAAGTACCTCTGAGACAGAGGACATGGGATTCTGGGCTGAGCCACACTGAGACAGTTCCTGTGCCGCATAAGACGGGGCCTCAGTCTCTGGGTTTGGGACAGATTGTGCTCCCACCATCTCTGAGGCATGACTGTGACAAATTCTGTGTGGTTCTGCCAGGGAAACATGTTTAAACTGGTCACCAGCACTGCAGAGATGACCTTGTGCTCAGGAGAAGGAAAGTGGCTTAGAGTTTGGATGTGCAAAATAGTGTTTGGGAGAATCAACACTGTTAGCTTTCATGCTACCACAGTGTGTGTGTAGTAGGAGAAAGTGACAGAGAAGGAAAGTGGCTTAGAGTTTGGATGTGCAAAATAGTGTTTGGGAGAATCAACACTGTTTGCTTTCATGCTACCACAGTGTGTGTGTAGTAGGAGAAAGTGACGTTAGCCAACTAACGGCGTCCTCTTCCAACTCCCCAAGGTTTGGCGATACATCTTTACAAGANGCTCGGGGCTGGTGGTGAGCTGGGCTCGGTTGAGGGCACCAGCCCAGGAAGCAGAGACCTCATAGGTGTGTGCACAGCTGGGAGAGCCCACTTGAGGGAGAGCAGGCAGCAGATTGGGAACCCCAGCAGGGAGGTGTCCCTAGGGGAGAATGACGTTCCTTGCATCTGGCAGCTGTTGATCCTGACAACTCTGCAGGAGCAGTTTTTGGAAAGGGCTGAGGCAGGGCCGGATGCGGTGAGCAGGGGGCAGGTGGAGAAGGACGTGATGCTGAGGACGGGCAGGACTTGAGAGCACAGGGTCTTGGCCTTGCTCATTGGTTTGCTCCCAGCACACTGGCTAGTGGGCTTGTTCATGAGCTGAGAGGAAAGCCCACAGAGAGTGGAGGCTTCAGGCCCGGGGCCAGGGACGCCCTGAGGGAGCAGGTGCCTGGAGGAGAAGCCATGGTGGGCACCAGGGGTGGATGCGCTGTGACCCACAGGAGGAGGTCCTGCCGCTGAGGGAAGTCATAAGACCATAAAGAGGTGATGTTCAGGGAGGCTGCTCAGCTGGGGGTGGGGGACTGGACTAGGGACCTGTCTTGGACTTCAGAGCCTGTGTTGTGTAAGGATCACCTTGTGCTTCCCCTGCAGGTGGTATCCACGACCTCTTCCCGTAGGCATTTGGCACATGCATGTGGGGTGTGCCCCGAAGGATGAGAGAGAAGGCAAGGGGCCTCACGGTCAGTCCAGGAGGGACAGTCAGGTGTTGATTCGTCGGGCAGTGACTGATTGCAGTCTTGAGGACAGGGCTGTGCCCCACTGCCATTCCCTTTCCTAAGTACCTCTGAGACAGAGGACATGGGATTCTGGGCTGAGCCACACTGAGACAGTTCCTGTGCCGCATAAGACGGGGCCTCAGTCTCTGGGTTTGGGACAGATTGTGCTCCCACCATCTCTGAGGCATGACTGTGACAAATTCTGTGTGGTTCTGCCAGGGAAACATGTTTAAACTGGTCACCAGCACTGCAGAGATGACCTTGTGCTCAGGAGAAGGAAAGTGGCTTAGAGTTTGGATGTGCAAAATAGTGTTTGGGAGAATCAACACTGTTAGCTTTCATGCTACCACAGTGTGTGTGTAGTAGGAGAAAGTGACATTAGCCAACTAACGGCGTCCTCTTCCAACTCCCCAAGGTTTGGCGATACATCTTTACAAGAAGTCATCAATGTGGAGAGTTTGGTGCGGTTAAATTCCTACTTTGAGCAGTTTAAGGAAGTCTTGCCTGAGGACTGTAAGTATTCCTCCACTCTTGGGGTCTCACCTGTCTGTGTTTCCATCTCTGACGTCTGGGCTCAGGCTGTCTGCTCTGCTCACTGACCTTTCCGACACTGCGGCCCGCCGTGCCTCTGTGTGTGCGTGTGTGCCTGCACTGTCCGCCTGCACTGTCCTCCTGCACACGGCAGCCCACCTACCTCTCCACACTCTGCCTGGCTTCAATTCTACCTGCAGGAGCTTCCCTCAGCTGCAGCGCTGGCTCATCTCTCTTCTAACCTACATAACCTGGGCTTTCCCACACTCTGTCATGGTCACTGATGTTCACTGTGCACCTGCTGGTGGGACGTGGGGGTCACAGAGGCAGGACCCACCCTTAGCCCAGGGGGTCTGGTGAGCTGCCCACACACCTCGCTCCGTGGTACCTAGAGGGTAAGATGCTGGGTGTTTGAGGGCAAGATGGCCCCCATCACAGTATGCTCTGGAGGTGGCAGAGAGGTGACAGCAGTAGTCCCTCCACTGACACCCAGCTCTCTGCCCCCAGTGAAGATCCTGCAGGAGGGCCCAGGGCTGCGCAGCATTACCTTCCCATGTGCACTTCTCTCCCGGATTCCCCAGTAAATAGTCACCGAGCACCTGCTCTGTGTAAAGCACCACAGGACCAGATGGTGAATGAGCCCTTCCCTGCCTGGAAGGGAAAGGCGTCCAGAGGGTGCTCTGCCTCTCTGTGTGGGTGGCTCCCGCCTCTAGGAGGTGCCACACGGAGGCGAAGGAGACACTGAGTTACACTAATGTTCCTTTCTCTTTTTTTGTGTGTGGCCGATACGGGAGGCTGAGCCCTTGACCTTGGTGTTATCAACACTGCATTCATGTTCTTGGATGGGAAACTCCAAAGGGGGAAGACCATTATGGCTCAGAAGATGTGGCCAGGCTTCATTTGTGTTCAGCTGGAAGGAACTGTGGATCTCAGAGTTTAGAAATGGTCGTAAAATGATGATGCTGGCGAACATGTACCGGCCACTGATGTGCCAGGCGCTGGGCTAAGTGCTGCACACACATTTCTGTACCAAGCCCCACACCTTCCAAGGCTGGTGTTGGTGGCCCTGTCAGATGGGGAAAAGGGCTGTCTGGCTCTGAAGCCTGTGGCGGGGGCAGGGTCTGGGCATCGGGGTCTCAGAAACTCCCTGGGTGATCATGAGATGCCGCATCCAGTGTTGCAAACATGACATTAAGAGCCAAGTAAAAAGAGCACTCAGCTGAAGGTCACAGTATCGGGCACTTCGGAACCCAGTTATTGAGGCGTCCTCATGTTCTCCAGCAGTGATCGTAGTTAACTGACAGAACTGTCATGTCCGCACCACATGCCAGGCCCTCTTCTACACACGTTCCGTGGACGATCCAGTCCAATCCCACGGCAGCCGTGTGAGCTGGGCATGGGTTTCACGCCCGCTCACAGATGAGGACACAGACCTGGAGCGCGAGTTTCCCAGGACCTGGGTGAAGCCCAGGCGGTCTCTTCTGACTGCTGAAGGGCAGGAACAGCCATGGACTGGAGGATCAGGATCATCAGCAGGGCCACCAGGGCGCCAGGGAGGAGAGCACTAAGGATGAAAGTGGGAGCGGTGGCGCCATCTTCGGGAAGGAGGGCGGGCACTTCCCAGCACTGCCGAGGCTGCAGGGGATGTTAAAGCAGCTGGGGATGAAGGCCAAGGAAGGGCGAGACCTGCAGGAGCAGGAGCTGCCTGAGCTGGACCAGCAGGCTGGACCATGATGGTCCCCCAGAGAGCTGGGGGAGCGGTGGCCCAGGGACCCTTCAGACCCAGGAGAGCTGCTGGTCTGTGAGGCTTGGAACTGCAGCCCACCAGGCTGGATAGCCTGCAGTCTGCGCAGTTCCTCCGGGAGCAGGCATCCACTCAACTGGGGGGAGAAGCTGCAGTTGATCTGGGGGCACGGTGATGCTGTCTCCTCCACAGGGCGAACACCCGAGTTACCTTAAGCTCCTCCTCGGGGCCCTTCAGCCTCCCTTGCAGACTGAGCCCCTCGCAGGCAGGAAAATTCTTTCTGCCCTGTCCCCTGACCAGTGCAGTGCTGGACACACGTCAGGAGCATGAAATAATTAGCACAGCATCCTGTGTGCGCCAGGGTGAGGTGGCATGCTAGAGACCATTTGTGGTTAGATCCCAGAGTGCCACGTGGATGGTTTTGATTTGGGGATTTAGACACTGTAGCTATTTTCCTTCACCATGACCTTGAGGCTATTCTCTTTACTCTTGATAATCCCAGTATTTGAAAGTCCCAAAGTGCCTTCAGGAGTGGTTGGTTTTCCTCTACTTTGGCCTGGGTTTCTTAGATGAGGCAATCTGACGGACCGTCAGGCTCGTGGGGTCCTGAAAGGGCCTGAAGATCATCCCAGGGGAGGAGGGAAGCTGTTAGAAGGAGCGGTGGGAGGCCTCCCAGGGTCGTTCAGAACATGTTTCTCCAGTTGGGCAGAGGTCCCTGGAGGAGGCTGCACTTTCCATATTACCCCAAGGTTATCAGGCCCACTCTGTGGCTGAGACCTGCTGCCCCAACATCCTCTACCCTGGTGGAGGTTTTGAAGACTATTTGGGTCTCTCTCAGTCCCTCTCCTTCCCCTCCCTTGGGAGGGGCGTGGGAGTCGTGGATATTTACAAGAAGCTCCTTGGGTGATTCACTGTTCATTCTCCTGCCCCGCAGAAGAGCAGAAAGGAGACAAAGTGATTGTCCTTTGAAGGTGGAACTAAAATGGCAGTGAGGAAAGCTCTCATCATGCCACTGGCCCGTTCAGTCCCTAAACGCTTCCCTCCCTCCCAGCTCCTGCCGCCGCAGCTTACCTGGGTGGGCTCCCACCGTCAGGGCCAAGTTCCCGGTGCGACACCCACTCCCATGGACTCGTCTTCTCTTGCAGGTCTACCTCGATCTCGAAGTCAGACGTGCCTGCCCGAGCTGCTGCGTTTTCTGGGTCAGAACGTGCATGCCCGCAAGAATAAGAATGTCGACATTCTCTGGCAAGCTGCTGAGGTACTCGTCACAGTGAGGAAAGGAGGGTAGTGCTGCGCCTGCTGCCCAAATCAGAACAGTGGCAGTGACAAATCACGGTCTCAGCCGGGAGGGGGAGAGCTAGTTTCTCCATGTGGGCACGTCAGGAAGTCCCTGAATTTGTTCTAGAACTCTGGAAGAGACTGAACGCTGCCTGTGAGTTCATTCCTTTGGGGCTGCCGGGATTCCAATACGCTTGACACAGAGTCTATCCCTTGGGGCACTTAATAGCTGGACTGATGACAGTTGTCACCTTCAGAAGCCTGCACAATTGATGCCAGCAAAAACTCACTGCCTGCTACATCTATTAATAGGTTCAAAGGGTGACTGTGGTGACCTTTCAAATCTCTTTAAACAATCTCTATCGTACATTTGGGTTCTGATCTTACTCCCACCTACCTGCACTGTGAGCATCTTCTCATCAGGCTGCTTGTGGAATTGCAGGTCAGGCTCTGAGCCCGGGATTTAGAGCAGTTTCACAGCTCGTCATTCACTCACCCGACGAGGGGTGGGTTTAATTCATCTCCAAGGCAGCAAAACCAGCCGGCACGGGGACCCAGGGGCATGCGCAGCCCCCAGTGGCAATCCGTTCCGGCTGCCTTCCTGGTTCCAAGGACAGGGGAGGGGTGGACGCAGGACGGAGTTGGCACTGCACTGCCCACTCACACCTGGGCCACCTCCCTGCATCGCAGAGCCCCAGTAGCAGGTGGGGGGCATCCCCCACAGCTTCCCTGAGCACCTCATTCTGAAGTGTCACTGTCTTCCTTGTCAGGGAAGTGTCCCTCTCAGCCTGGAGTGTCTTCCACCGCAGCAGCAGGTCTCAGCTGGTCACAGTGCTTGAGGGCCATTTCAAGTTGGTTATTGTGGATGCAGAGACCTTGTGCATGCCTCGTTTGAGAGTGTGGACCTATTTCTCTATTGCCATATGGTAGAAAAATCATTATCTATAGGGACAATTGGCCATCCGCTGTAACTGTGTCAGAGAAGAGTCCACCCAGTCCTGCATTTTTTGTTCCCAGTAGAGGCCTCAAGGTACAGAAGCATAGAGTCAGAGGTGGAAGGCTCACGAGGCCCTTGGATGAGTCAGATCTCACGTTGTCCACGGAACCCTGGGCGTCCCCGGAGGGGGACGGATGGGTGTGGGAGCAGAGTGCCGAGCCACTCAGGCACCAAGTTCTCCCATCCCTGATGGGACCAGAGCTGCTGCCCTTTTCTGGATCTTATTTGTTTTCATTTCTTTGTATGAACAAATGTCCTTGCCTAAACAGCTGGGATGTCTTTAGTCAGGCCCATCCCTGGCCCACCCTCACTTCAGCGTGCTCAGGGTCGACTTAGGAATGTTTTTCTTTTCTTTTCTTGTCCTCAGAAGCAGCCTATCATCATCTTGATTGTCTTGTCTGAATTTGGGCCTTTTCTGTTTTGTCTTTCCCTAGACAGAGTTCTTAGGACTGCACCATGTTGGTGTCTAGTAGTGTCCCCTGTAGTGACCAGCATGTTCTTGGATTTGCTGGCCTGAGAAGCAGGGGAGGTGCCATCTTCAGGGCAGTCGAGGACGATGATCCTTTTCTGGAGTAAACAGATAACTGGGAGCCAGCATCGCAAAGCTTGGATGAATTTTCATTAAATATCAGTATTGCTCTCACGGCGCAGTGCCTGGTACAGGTTCACAGTCCCTTATCTAAAGCCTTCGTGGCCAGATGTTTTGGAATTCACAGGTTTTCAGATTTTACAAAAGAATATAGTACACAGTTGTGTCCATGCAGTATGGTACACATGATATATGTGTACCTCGGTGCATGTTTATGATTTAACATCTCTGGGGAGTCTGGGGCAGCACTCTGGAGTCAAATTCATATTTTGTTATTGAAGAGTAGGAATATTTACATAAAATGGGATAAATAAAGATTATAAATAGTCTCACATCAGCTCAGATCTGGTTGTGCCACTAATCAAGATTGCCACAAACCCACAGAAAAAAAAATCTTTTCTGTTTTAGAGTTTGGATTTGGGGACTGTATCTAGGATCATATGTCATGCTACAGAGGAAATGCCCCAAAGGGTTCTGTCTGTGGGGAGAGGAGGTGCACTGAGGTGGCCTTTTCCCAGTTCTGGAGGCTGCCTCCAGCCCCTGCCTGCACCCATGTGAGGCATCCTGTTGTGCCTGAGGCCTGAGGGAGGTGGAGTGGGGCAGGAAGGGCCTGGGGGCCTGGTGGTCAGGAGGGAGCTACAGGGAAGTGGATCTTCTGAGCTGTTCCCATCTGTGTGGATGAAGGAGGAGACCAGAGAGCAGCAGATCTGTCCCCTGCCTTCCAGTTGGCCTGGTCAGGGACTGTGGGCATCCTGTGAGTGGCTCTGACCCTGAGTGGGTCATCTCACTGCCCGCTTTCCCCCAGGGATCAGCAGTAAAAGGCTGAATGTGACAAGAGGGCGGGGGCATGATTTGAAGGGGGGATAGCTGGTGGGGGTCAGACTGTGATGCCTCAGCACTGAGGAGGAGTGTCCCCTGGGAGAAGGCAGCCACACGAGGGATGGCAGGGATGGAAGCACTTGGGCAGCAGGGCCCCCAGAGGGGCTTGTGTCTGTGAATGACTTGGTTTCTGTTGCAGGCCCTCAGGATGTAGAGTTGGGGGCAGAGGCAGAGTCTGGCCAGGCCTGGGCGCTGAGTTTCCGCCCGTGCCCTGATGGGCCGGCTGGGAGCCTCTCTGGCCATGGAGATGCCGGCGCTCTGCAGAGGCTCCCTCCTGAGCATGGCCTGTTTTCCTGTTGGCAGATCTGCCGCCGCCTTAACGGGGTCCGGTTCACCAGCTGCAAGAGTGCCAAGGACCGCACGGCCATGTCGGTGACACTGGAGCAGTGCCTGATCCTGCAGCACGAGCACGGCATGGCCCCGCAGGTGTTCACCCAGGCCCTGGAGTGCATGCGCAGGTGAGTGCCGCTGCCCACCACCTGCCCGGCCGCCCGCCCGTGTAAACTGCAGATGAGCCGCTGCCCGCCCTTCCTGGGCCCCGCTGTGTGGGCCTCTGACATAGTCTCCCCTCGAGTTTAACAAACTATCAAGCTAGTGGTGCTGTCAAATTCCCAGTGTTCCCTTGTAAGGCAAGGGGAGAAAGAGCTAGCAGTCTCTCCGACCTGACATAGTCTCCCCTCGAGTTTAACAAACTATCAAGCTAGTGGCGCTGTCAAATTCCCAGTGTTCCCTTGTAAGGCAAGGGGAGAAAGAGCTAGCAGTCTCTCCGAGCAGGACTGTGCTGAAAACGGGGAGACCAGCCGGCAAGCCGTGGTGTCAGGCAGTTAAAGGGGCGTTTGGATGCTGCCGTGTGAGTCAAGTGACACGCGGCCACCTGCCTGGCTGCGGGTGTGACTTAGGGCCAGCGCTTTCTCAGCAGGCTTCTGCTGCGGACGCTGTGTATGTGCATATATGTGTACGTTGCCAAACTTGAACGAAGAAAACGCGTCTGCAGGTTGCACTGGTTTGCCCCGCTGCTTCTCTAGCAGGCGACACTGTTTGCTTCTATGAGCACAGTGTCAAGTGAGTGTCTTTTGGTGACAGCTGTCAGTGTGCCCTGGCAACCTCACCCTAATGATGTTCTGATTCTGAGGGAGCAGGTGTGTTTGCAGAATGAAACCCAGAACTAAACCTGTCCACTGTTGACCGATGCCTGTTTCAAGCACTGCTGGGCAGCCCCCTCCCTCACATACCAAAAGAAAGGATAAGAAACCTGGTTTCCATCTCCTTCGATGTAGTCGCCAATGCTGTTAAAGTCTTGTTTACGGTCACTTCTACTGAATGTTCTGTATCATTTGTCCTCTCACCAAATTCTTTAAAACGTTCAATTCTCTTATCCTTTCTGTATGTTTCTGCCATTTGACCTTCTCACAATAATGCACAAAAGTGATGCGTGAGCTCCTGCCTCTTGACAATAGCGTTTGTAAAACTGGAATCGTGTTGTCCCGATTTTGTCTTTTCAAGTTCATCTAAACCTCTGTTAAAGTTCACCATTCTCTCTGTCCTTAGACTCAGAGAAGCAGTGGAGACTCAAGAGACCCCTGCCTTGGGGCACCTTTATTTTATTTTGTTTTTTAATTACCTTGACTAAGGGCCTGCCCTCAGGATCCTTGGTGCCCTTCAGGGTTGAGGTCCAGTGCAGCCCCTGGTGCCATGGGGGGGCGGCCATGTCTATGCCCCTTTAGCTGCACGGTGGTGGGAGGGGCTGCTTTGGCGAGCTGCAGGCCTCTGCCCGAGAAGAAAGGAGAAAGAAACAGGCAGGGATCCCTTTGTTTGTGGAAGCAGAGATCAGGATCAAGCCGTGAGTTAGGCATGCAGTTGCTGCAGAGACCTCTGTCCAGTTCTTGGGCTCTTGAACAGTTTCCACGAAAACAGTAATTCATTCTGATTACATCTGAGCACAAAATAAAGGTGTCAGGAGACCAGGCTGGCTGGTTAGCTCAGTTGGTTAGAGCATGATGTTATAACACCGAAGTCAATGGTTTGGATTCCCGCACCGGCCAGCCATCCAAAAAAAAAAAAGGTCTCAGGAGACCCAGGAGAAAGTAGTTCCTGTTACTGAGCCTGGCACCACTGGGGCTGCCCCAAGCACACACAGGACAGATATTACAACTCTTACAACTTGCGAAGCACTTTTTGTAACTGTTAACCACGTAAGTAATTGATACACTCCTTGAAGGAAAATTAGAAAGTTCAAATGAGCCCCTACACTAGTTGTATACAAACACACGCACACTCCCTCCTCAGGAGAATCCTCTATGTTCCTACTTTTTTTTTTTTTTGGCGGCTGGCTGGTAACGGGATCCATATGTTCCTACTATTAACAGGTAGCCATGTTACCATTTTGATAGATGTTCTTTCATATATAGGTGCCTATATATGCACAAGAACACGCACGTGCACACACAAATGCAATTAATTACATGTGTAATTCTGCCTGTTGGTTTAGCCTTTTTTTCATTTAACTGTTGTGTGAGTATTTTTTCAGGTTAATAAATATTGACCTATCACTTTTAACACACCAAAATTTATCTAGTTTGCTGTCACTGAATATTTAAGTATATATGGTTTTTCAGCATTTTTAATCAAGGGTGCAGTGAATATTCTTATATATTCTCCTATCTACATTTTCCAGCTTGATTCTTTAGTTAAAAAGTATATGCCTTTGGGNTTTTAAAAAAAAAAAAAAAAAAAAAAAAGTATATGCCTTTGTGAGGCTTTTTAATAATTTTAATGGTTAATACATTGCTCCCATACCAGTGACACTCCCGCCCCATGTCATTGCCTTCACTGGGCGCGCTCATGCCTGTTGCAATTCTAAGTGCTTCTGAGGCTCCACAGTTGGTGTCCTTTCTCTGTATTATAGGTAAGGACCCTGAGACCTTCCTCTTATGGGAACAGGCACTGTTCCCTTGACCCGCCTCTGCCTCCAAGCCCCACCCCCTGCCCCCAATTATGGATGTCTTTTAAGATTTCCTTTGTTTTTTTCTGAATTTTCATAATCTCTACAGTGAACGTGTATTACTTTAATAACTAAATAAGAATTTATAAAAACAAAACAAAGCTCGATCCCATGTCCCCTCTGCCTGCCCCAGAATCCTCAGCATCAGCCTTGGGGAACAGTGCTTGCCCGCTGCCCTGAGCTGACCCTCCAGCACCTCAGGCTCTTGCCACAGGTGTTTGTTTTAAGGTGACACCATTGCACCTGACTTCTGTGTCTTCTGGATTTCCCCATGTGGGGAAGACATGGATCTGTTTAATCGATGGCAAGCCTTAGGTGGCTGAGTGACCAGCTAGCATTTCTGGCCGCAGCAGTAGCTAGCTCCTCAGCTGAGCGTCCTCAGGGGCCGTAATAAATCTTGACCATGCCCTTGAGTGGAGAATACGTTTTGGTTCTCAGGCTTTCTCGCTTGCATCTGATCAGATGGAAGAGCAGAGCATGCAGGCAGGGCGCAGGCCGTTGGGGGTGCAGAGCCGACACCCAGGCTGTGTCCCAGAGGCCCAGGGAGAGCAGCGGCCAGTGCTGTGCCATAAATGTTCAGCGCCCAGCTCTCTCTGCAACCCTGGTCTGTAGTGTTTGCTGGTTTTGGCAGCATCAGTACTCCCGCAGGGGCCCATTTCAAGCTCCCAGTGTGGCACTGCTGAACAAGCAGTTGGGAAGACATGTACATACTCAGCTCTGGAGAGCCATGTGAGCTGTCTCCACCACTGGAGCTGCCCCTGTCCCCAGTCCAGGGGCTGAAACCCTCATTTAAGTGGGTCATCCTGAGTCGCCACAGTGACCCATCAGCCCACCCTGGCAGGAAATGTGACAGTCAGTGCTCACCAACTTGGAAAGTGTCCCCTGTCAGAAAGGCATGTTCCAGCAGGACCATTCCAAGCCATTCCTCTGAGAAAGCCTGGGAGAACCTAGTGTGAGGGGGGGACCTTTGACTTCCTGCCTACCCATCTGCAAGGGGATCCTTCACAGGCTGTCTGCTGTGTGTAGGACCTCTAATTCTGTGCCACTGTTGCCACCTGGTAGTCATGGATGTGGTTCCAGAGTCGGGTGGTTCTAGGCACTATTTCACCTCAGTACATTTCTTCTTTAGCACCAAAAGGGGCAAAAAAACCAAATTGCCAGTGTTGCTTTGGTTGGATTCTATTCTTGGGGATCATCTTGTAGAACAATAACTTGCAAAGGTGGAGACATCTGCCACTGCTTAGCCTGAGACCCTTAGCAGGTCCGGTGGAGACTCTGCACTGTTGATGGCTGAGGTCAGTGGTTTTTTTCATTTGTGTGGTTCATCAAGAGGCAGCTTTAGCCACAGCCCTTGCACTGCCCCTGCTTGGGCATTGTGAGAAGGTCAACGCCCAATGGTTCTTCATGTTCGGCTTGCTTCTCAGAACGCCTGTCTGCGCCGAATGTGCGAGCATGGCCGGCAGCATGGACTTGCGCTTGGCCAGCCGAGAGGGAGTGAACATGGAAAACCATCCATTCAACCTACATGTGTCTCTTTTCAGTGGACTGCAGTATTTTTCCTTATTTTCACTTCTCTTTCTCTCCTTTTTTTCCTGTAATTGTGCTGGTATTGTTTTGGTTCATCCTTTCACACCCTTTTCTCTGCATATCGTCCTTTCTTTCTTTTGTGGCTTCATTTCAATTTTTTTTATCTTATATTTTGGTTCTCCTCTTTTTTCCATACTTTTTGATAAAATCCATCCATGTGTCTTTTTTCTTTCTTTGCTTTTCTTTCCTTTCCTTTTTTCTTTTCCTTTCTCCCAACCTTTTTCCTTTTCACAGCATTGGAACACGGGAGGTAGTCACCCAGAAGAACTTGAGCGGCCTGGTGCCCATCCGAGACTTAAGGCTAGACCCCAGCCTCCTCTGTTCCATTCCTTTATTAGCTCTGAGCCCCAATTTACTGATTGTGTGGCTCTTTCTGAGCATAGTGTACCTGGTGACCAAATTGCGTTGCAAATGAATATCATTATGAAAAATTAATGTCACAAGCAAACAAACGTGCCAGAACATGTCCAGCCACCGTGTACCTAACTGGACAGAAGGAATGTGTCAAAGCGTGGTCTGCCAAGAAATATCTCATGCCTTACAGTTTGACATTTTGTTCTTCTGAACTGTAAATACCTGCCAAATTATTTCACCAAGAGGACTTGTTCGTTTGAGTCACGCAGTGTCTTCAGTGCTTATAACATGTTCTTACGGTGCCCTGTTCTGCATCATTTAGCTGGCCTGGAATTACTTGTACCAAATCTCTTACCTTCTGATGTAAAACTATTTATTACCTGTATATCTTATGTGCCCTGTTTCCAAGAGCAAGGAATTCTGTCGGATAACAATTTGTATATTTGATACTATTTTCTTTAAGTGTACTGCTAACCTTTCCTTTCCTTTTGAAGAGAAATGAAAAAGATAGACGCTTTATAACTGGCTCATCTAGATAAACCTATCTAATAGGACATGTACTTTCTGCTTTCATTTCAAAGCGTAGTCCCTGAATTATAGTAGCAAACAGTTTGCAGAACCGTAACATTTTCTCGCTTATGTTATTATTTCCAATTGGGGATGACAGAAAGCTGTGACTACAATAGCATATCACACCAAGTCAGGCACATAAAGGTGACACACTACATGTGACTTTAGATTTCCTCTTAGCTCTGTAAGGATCATTAAACTGATTCCAAGAATTAATGCATATAGTAACAGAAGGCTGTTGAAATTATACATATTTATTTTTCTTGAAATAGCATTTGTCACTTAAAAAAAATACATCTTTAATTCCAGATTATAGTTCAGGCTTGTTTTCTCTCTTACTAATCAAATATGGTTAATAGTGGGGAAAAAAAAAAAATCAAAGAAAATTTACCGAAAAGTGAGGCTTAGCTTTTGGGTGGCTGTGGCAGATGGAGCTGTGAGAGAGAAAGGCTCACTTTGGTTTCTGCTCTTATCACTCTTACTTTTAACATGGCAGTGGCCCTAAAATGGGATGACTGGTGACCTTAACATTCATATGTGGCAGAGGATAACTGTACATCTATAAAGGTAATCAAATATATTAGGGGAAAATTCCACACACTCTGTATAAGTAATAGTGGCTTCTCTGTTTTCTAGTTCGTATTATGTTGTGCTTGTTTTCAGCCTTCAGCTGGTTCCCCATATGCTGTATTTTATGAAAGTGGATTTCTTTTTGCCAGTCTAGAAAAATTGCAGTGATTTAGAGAAGCTGGCTTTTCCAGAAACTGGACACTCATGCATGCACACAAACCCAGTTTGCCACAAAATCTGGCCTCTCTGCAAGACTTCAAGACCTTACTCTGGGCTTCCTCTGGTTTGGCATCAGCTCAGAGGCCATCACCATCACACCCCGGGAAAACCCTCTTTCTAGACCTCCTGAGCAGGCTCCCTAGGGAGGCACCACCTTTGTAGGTGAGCCCCCTTTTCCACAGTGCAGTGTTTGCTCATCTCTTCTAGAATAAATGAGGTGGCTGTCCTGTAGCACAGCTGCTGACACCCTTCAGTAGGGAGTCTCTCACCGAATGCCAACCGACTGGTCGTGTTGTAGCAACACGACATTAAGCACTGGACACTATCCTGTCCAGTCTGTGAGTCTTTGAAAGGTGTGTTTGCCACTTGCTCTCTTTCATGTCAACATGTGCACTCCCACTCTAAGACCTACTTGTGTGCTTTGCTTGAAAAGGGGAAAGTAGAGTCCACAGCTTCTCTGTCCCTGTCTGGGGTAACACACCCCTGATGCGTGTGGTGGTGACATGTGTGCATGTCCACCTCCAGGGCAGAGTTAGCGGTCATGCAGACACCGTGCCCAGCTGAGGGAGGCCCTCAGACTACAGACGGTGGCCCTCCCTCCCCCAGGGTGCTCTGTGATGCTCTCCAGGGGTCCTGCCAGGACCCCAGCGAGGGTGCCTGAAGGACACCACAGCCAGATCCTCACTGTCGTGGTGCCAGCCACACTTGCCTGTCCTGTGTGGGTTTGGCTTTTGGATTGAGACAAATAGAATGGGAGGGAGGATGAGCCTCTTTGTTCTCTCTTCCAGGGGCTGGTCCAAAAGCAGCGTGCTCTCCCCGTGCACTTCCCAAGGGCTAGTCCTAGAAAAGAGCCAGCAGGAAGCCAGCCGAGGCAGTGGCTCGAGTTTTTTCTTAAAACTATCTGAGGAAAGAAACTCAGTATGCTCACTCTTTATGCTGAATTTCAATGTGACTAAGGCCTTTTGCTCATGAAATGAGGCCAAATACATATCCAAAGTCTTGTCTGCTTCAGTGAGAAAGAGGCAGGATGAAGCAAAGATGGGGAGACAAGTCCAGAAAGGGAAGTCACTGACGGTTGGTGGTGGTTTTTAGGTTGTTCCTAATGTTAGTGCAGAGGCATGTCAATGTCACCAACTCTAGATGTTCAGTATTAAGTCAGCGTTCTGAAGTCAGAGAAACCATACTCAGGAGGTTTTCCCTTTGGGAGGTCTTATAAAATAGTTGTATACATTTTTCAACTAGTGTGTCAGTCACTGTTTACTCCCATGGCTTGGCCCAGATAGATCTTAACAAAGTGGCACAAAGTGACAGGAGAGGCAGCCACTCTCTCTGTCTGCCACAGAGCCACCAAGAGACTTGATGCGTCCAGATGAGTTCTAAAGTGGAAGGACCCCACCAGAAAGGGAAAACCAGAGTTTTCCTTAAAATTAGTTGTCAGTTGAGGTTTCCATTCTAAGTTTTCATTTCAAAACTGGATGTCCTTGAAAAGAAATTATTGATATAATAAATAATCATGTAGCTTTGAAATAATCAAATCCCTCCTGCTAAAATCTATCCAAGATCTTCTCAACTTGAGTTATTGAAAAACTTATGCAGCTAGTGTGGTCAGCGGGAGTGTCCTGCCCCAGGGTGGCAGGCTGGCCCATCACCACACGCCCACCACCCCAGCACGCCCTCGCCATCTCTGCCCGCTGCACGCAGCCTTAGTGCTGGTGCATCTAAACATGGCATCTACACGCGCAGACCAGCTGCACCAGCCAGGTTCTGTGAAGTCAAACATTTGGGGGAAAGTAAATAAATTGAAATGAAAGTGTACGCACGCAGCCTTAGTGCTGGTGCATCTAAACATGGCGTCTACACGCGCAGACCAGCTGCGCCAGCCAGGTTCTGTGAAGTCAAACATTTGGGGGAAAGTAAATAAATTGAAATGAAAGTGTAATCGTGATTATAATTTCATGTGTAATGTATTCAGCCAGCTAAACCAGATATTAGCTCCTTTAACATGTAAATAAAAGATAACATCCAAGTTGACACATTATTCTTCCTTGCTCTTCAAGGCAGTGTGGCATTTACTAATGATAGGTGGTTTTTGAAAAGTTTGTTCATTTCTATGTAAATGGAGAAGCCATTTCTGAAATAGTCCGTTAATGTAACAGCTTCCAAAGATTAAAAGAGATAAACTGTGTATAGGAACCTATGGCTTCTGCTTTAAATAGATTGTATTTTTATCTGATTTCTGAATGTCAGACAAAAACCTGCTCATGTGGCCCAGCTCTTCAGCTCAGATGACACACATGTAGCTGAGGGCTGAGGCTCTGTGACAAGAAAGCACATGAGTTACTAGATTCGTTCATAGCAACCAGGTGAATACTTTTCTAAAATACCCGAGCTTATCTTTTGAATAAAAATTACTGTCTTACCAAAAATATTTTACATGTTCTTGATAATGAGACTGTCACTTTCACTTTAAGAGGCTTGAGCAGTTGCCACTGATTTTTTTTAAGTGCATGACATAACAGTCTTCATACAATTCGAAATATTTTTTTAAATCACTATTTGTTGGTAACTGCAAATTTTACACCTCGTAAAGGGGGGGTTTTGTACAAAATTTGATAACTATTTGATTTCATTGTTAGTCTTAGAACCATAGAAAAATATCAAGTTATGCTGTGCTGTGGGGAGTCATTTATATTTAAAATCGTTTCTGCCTGTTAATTTTATGTCTACACCAGAACATTTCCCAGAGAACTCCCCTGGTGCTCTCACTGAGCATGTGAGGCCTGACCGCTCACCCTCCTGTAGAGCACTTGTTCTGCCCACTGGGTTGCCGTGACAACCCTCTGTCAAATGCAGCTGGGGATGATGCTGTTAGCGAGCTCTCCAGGGATGGGCACTTGTGGACTCTCTGGCTCAGTGGCACTTGTACAAGAGGTGACCACACTGTGGGCAGCCCACCTGGAGAAGGGTAGTGCTACCACCAGGAGACCGCAGTGGGGCACTTATTGACGGCACTGCAGCCCCGATAGCCTTGCAGACCCACTCTGCAGACAAGGCATGGGCCCACTGGATTGTTTGGCACCCAGAACAGCCGGCCCATAGGTGGAGACGGCATGTCAGGACAGCCCCCTCAGCCAGATGGCTTTGCTACATGTTGAATTCTGCGAGGAACATCAGCATTTTCAATTTGATGTGATTACAGCTCTTGCTAATGTAGAAAAGTGCAGCTCTTTAAAGGCTTTGGTAAGAGTAGTAATATTTCTCTTTCCATTTAATGTGTTATGTAACAGAACCTTTGAACTACAAGTTATGATAGCACTCCAGATAACTAGACACGAGATACACGAAACCATTAACTTTAAAAAAGTTTGCTTCCACTTAGAGCGCTGCTTTTGGAAATGCCAAATTCACAGCCCCATACAGCATGTGTCCATCTCTGTGCTTCTTAACTGCCTTGTTCAGAAATCTGCCATCTTATGTGTGTACTTGTTGTAAATGAGTCCAGCACCCATTTAAACTAATCTTTTTTTTTTAATGCTATGAAAATAATCAGTTCATTTCATCTTAGTTTAAGTCTTTCTTTTTTCCTTTTTTACTGCTGTCATTTCTTGTGCTTGTTTTTTCCCCAGTGAGGGTTGTCGAAGAGAAAATACAATGAAGAATGTTGGAAGTCGCAAATATGCATTTAATTCCCTGCAGCTGAAGGCTTTCCCCAAGCATTACAGGCCTCCCGAAGGGACTTACGGAAAAGTTGAAACATGAACACACGGTTTCCTCTAATTAGCTGTCACGTAATAAATGTGGGTACCCTCTAGTGTCATACATGAATTCTTCAAGAAGACCTGAAGGATTGATTTTTATTTTTGTGTGTTTTTTAAAAAATATTTTACTAAAGAGTCTACGGAGCATGTTTTTCCTCCCATTGGAACTGACAGGATGTAATGTTTGGCTCAATAGCATAGGTAACAACTGCCCATCTAAACAGAGTCATCAGTAGTTCCCTGTAAGAACTATGCTAGGTTTGTTTGAAATGCTACAAGACTTTTTCAAATGCCCACTTAAGGCACTGCTCATTTAACTTATTTTTCTATGGAGTAACTCAAAAGTGAGCATTGGATTACAATCTTTTTAAAAATTTGAATGTAAAATAGTAAATAACATATTAAATAATCAGATCCTAGGCAGACCAATAAATGTTGAATGTTAACTCACGTTTTGGGGAAAGAAGCTAGTCAGTACTCATGCAGTCAGAGGAACTGGTTCTAATGAATTATTCTGTCTACACCATAACCCGAGAAAGCAGAAATTGAAAAGTTGATAAATCAGCCTGAGATAAGACTTAGACGATGACACCTGCAAACTAGCCCACACAATTGGGCCACTCTTCTTCCTGTCCCTCGGGAGTTACAGAACAGGGTGTCTGCTTGAGATAGAAAGCCAGCAGTAAGGTCCCTGTACGTTGTCTCCTGTTCTCTCAAGCTTTGTGTCCAGCTCCCAACATGCCCACAGGGCACGTCTCCCTCTCCGCTCTAGATGCAGAGCTATATCAATCGACGGCCTCAAATGTGGCATGTCTGATGTCTGAGGAACAGCACTCCAATGGGGAGTTTGTGACTATAGAGATAGTGGAAACCTAACTGTTTTCAGAATAAATGTTCTTTTGCAGGATTTCCAATATATCTTCTTCTAAAAGACAGTATAATCATGTTTGAATGTCTGATGAAAGTGTCTTATTTTTAGGTTTGCAGTAATTGTTCTGCTGTTCATTCTGTTATGTAAGATGGCTATTGAGAAACAGTTGAAATTAACTCCTCAAATGAGATCTTGAAAGGGATTTATGGGCCATAAATCTTAGAAATTTCATAGAAAATTATGTCTGGTCATCTTTTACAAGATGATGGTAAATCTTATCTGCACATAGCAGGTATTTCTTAGGAGATTATATGTTTTATCGATACTGTTTATCATGATTATGTTTACATGTTATTTAAAAGGCTATAAAAGAATTATATGTGGCACATACAATAATCCTAATGATTTGTGAACCTCTCGGAAATTCTTATTTCCAAAAATCTAGTTATTATTCTTTTGGCTTCTTTAGAAATGCTACTTTGAAACGTGTAACAACACACTTGGGCCTGGGGTGCTGAGACACAGGCAGGACCACTCCTTGGCAGGGTCACAGAGGGGGCGGGCATAAGGTGGGGGTGGACAGCTGGGCTGTCCCCATGCAGCTGGGCTCACTGTGGAGGGTGGGAGGCAAAGAAGCTTTTGCCCACCACATGCTCTGCACAGGTGGCTGCTGCTGGTGTCATTCTCCTCTTTAAGTGTCAATCCGTGTTAAAAGACAGTTTTCAATATGGCTGATTTAGCTTTTCATCTCTCCATCATTTCATTTAATTTGAATTTTTTAGTTCCATCTTTTCTCATTTTAACATCACTACCGTCTTTAAAATTTCATTGTTTTTTAGAATTAAATGTTACCCATATTGTTTTCACAATTTTTTTTTTGTCTGAAGAGCATTAAATATCTGCGTTTATCAAAGGGAATATAGTAGATGTGAGTCATCTGTCAGCAATTTTGCATGTGGCACCTTTCTGTGAATTATTTTCCCAGTTTTCACTTTATGTTATGGGTCACTCTAAGGCTCTAAAACTCTAAGGCTTGGCTAAGTACGTAGACAAGACTCCAGTCTCAAGTGCATTCTCTAGAGGTGGTGGCCCGGAGCATTGCACATGCCTGTGGGCCAAGGTCCGGTTTTCCCAGTTTTCACTTTATGTTATGGGTCACTCTAAGGCTCTAAAACTCTAAGGCTTGGCTAAGTACGTAGACAAGACTCCAGTCTCAGTGCATTCTCTAGAGGTGGTGGCCCGGAGCATTGCACATGCCTGTGGGCCAAGGTCCGGTTGCACAGCCGTGGGGAGCAGCCCCACTTTCCGTAGGAGCTTGGAGTTTCATTTGCATAAGGAAGGTGGCTTTACAGGCTGCCATGAAATAGACATTCCGTCCAGTGTTCCCCGTAAGGCCCCCCCATTTAAAAAGAAATGTTGAGCTATGTGGAAAACTGGGAATGTAATGTGGATTCTGTCAGAGCTCCTGAGCACAGTTGCCTTTAGTTTCCTTTAAAGATGTAAAAATATTGTATAATACAGTTTTGTCCCTATACAGTTGTATTCGCCAAGCTTAGTGCATTAAAATACTTTTATTTATTTGTTTGGGGCAGTATTAATATATATAAACACATAGTACTGTTTTATATATTCCTAGTTCATTCAAAGCCATGTATGCTGTAAAAGTGCTAGTCTTTAGAATGACGAATAATAAATAACTGACAAGAGTATTAACCTCGGTCTTGCCTGATTCATTCTGCTACATCAGAAGGACTAGCTTGATGGTGGCATCTGATTGGACCGTCACTGCTGGGCGTGGCGTTGAGCACTCAGGTGCCGAATGCATGTGTTTGCAAACGTGGGACCATGCGAGACTTGTTTTATAACCTTGTTTTCACCTAGTTTGAAGCAGAGGGGCAGCAGGTTACAGGGTTAAGATCATGGACCTCGGCAGCAGACAGACACAGGTCCCAATCCTGCTTCTGCCACTCACTGGCTGATGAGTCTGAGCAAGTTGCTTGACCCCTCTGAGCCTCTGTTTCGAGTGCAAAGTGTGGACAACGGTACGTTCCTCCTAAGGTGGATGTGAGGCACCT